TTTTTTTTTGCCTCATTCAGGATAGACAAGGCATGTCGTCTTAGTGACTGACTGTAAATACATTTTAAACTGTTACTCCAGACTGGTTGTAATTGTTATGTTTTTTTTTATTATCTTGGATTATAATGTACATATTCTATGTATAAATGGGGGGAAAAGACAAAGGCCATGCCACTACTACTTGAAATCGCATTTGCTTTATTCCCAAAAAGTTTCTTTTGTTTGTTTTTTCTTAAACATTTTTCTACAGTTGTGTTTTCATTGATGTTGATGTGTAATTTTTGTATTAAGTTTGAAATTAAAAAAGTTATGATTTCTTTTTGGAGTCAAGTTTACTACTTTGCTGTTGAATTGTAATTTTATTTAGTTAAATCATTTTAAAATGCCTATTTTAGTACCATACATGGACAACAATGTGTTTATACCCATCAGTTTTCTACAATTTTTAAAAACACAAATGGTAATAATTCTCCCTTTGAAAATATTTTTCTTCTCAGTTTTATGTGTCTGCAAACAACAAGTAGGAACATTCTTTGTATTTGACTGTGCTACGAAGAGATTTGCATCAGACAAACCAATTTTTAATATGATTAACTTTTATCAATCAGTTGGTCAAAACCACTTAAGGCTGATCCAGAACAGCATTTTTCATTACAGTTTTATTCTGATATGCAAAGAGACAGATGCTGAAACTGATCCTGGACCTGTAGACAGTTTGAGCATTGTACATCTTATATATGTAAAACTGCCAATATTAATAAATGTTCAGGGTTATGACAAATAGTAAATGGTTCTTATAATAAAGTTCCATAATTGACAGTTTTGTTCAAAAATATAAATAATTTTCATATAGGTAAACTGTTCACTGTGTCCTCAGCACAAGAACACACAGTTGTATAAAGGCATTGACACACATAAACCTGTCCCTGCTCTCACCTGGTGAAATGTACCATATTGAAGTAAAACATGAGAAAATGGTAAAAATACTGTAATTTGCTTTATTTTATATTAATAGCAACAGTTGTCAACCATGAGAAAATACACTATATTGCCAAAAGTATTTGCTCACCTGCCTTGACTCACATATGAGCTTAAGTGACATCCCGTTCCTAATCCATAGGGTTCAATATGACGTCGGTCCACCCTTTGCAGCTAGAACAGCTTCAACTCTTCTGGGAAGGCTGTCCACAAGGTTTAGGAGTGTGTTTATGGGAATTTTTGACCATTCTTCCAGAAGCGCATTTGTGAGGTCGCACACTGATGTTGGACGAGAAGGCCTGGCTCTCAGTCTCCGCTCTAATTCATCCCAAAGGTGTTCTATCGGGTTGAGGTCAGGACTCTGTGCAGGCCAGTCAAGTTCATCCACACCAGACTCTGTCATCCATGTCTTTATGGACCTTGCTTTGTGCACTGGTGCACAGTCATGTTGGAAGAGGAAGGGGCCAGCTCCAAACTGTTCCCACAAATTTGGGAGCATGGAATTGTCCAAAATGTCTTGGTATGCTGAAGCATTCAGAGTTCCTTTCACTGGAACTAAGGGGCCAAGCCCAGCTCCTGAAAAACAACCTCACACCATAATCCCCCCTCCACCAAACTTTACACTTGGCACAATGCAGTCAGACAAGTACCGTTCTCCTGGCAACCGCCAAACCCAGACCCGTCCATCAGATTGCCAGATGGAGAAGCGCGATTCGTCACTCCAGAGAACGCGTCTCCACTGCTCTAGAGTCCAGTGGCGGCGTGCTTTACACCACCGCATCCGACGCTTTGCATTGCACTTGGTGATGTATGGCTTGGATGCAGCTGCTCGACCATGGAAACCCATTCCATGAAGCTCTCTGCGCACTGTTCTTGAGCTAATCTGAAGGCCACATGAAGTTTGGAGGTCTGTAGTGATTGACTCTGCAGAAAGTTGGCGACCTCTTCGCACTATGCGCTTCAGCATCCGCTGACCCCGCTCCGTCAGTTTACGTGGCCTACCTCTTCGTGGCTGAGTTGCTGTCGTTCCCAAACACTTCCATTTTCTTATAATACAGCTGACAGTTGACTGTGGAATATTTAGGAGCGAGGAAATTTCACGACTGGATTTGTTGCACAGGTGGCATCCTATCACAGTTCCACGCTGGAATTCACTGAGCTCCTGAGAGCGACCCATTCTTTCACAAATGTTTGTAAAAACAGTCTGCATGCCTAGGTGCTTGAATTTATACACCTGTGGCCATGGAAGTGATTGGAACACCTGATTCCAATAATTTGGATGGGTGAGCAAATACTTTTGGCAATATAGTGTATATAGTTAACAAAAGTATGATTATCATTAATTTAAAATTGTCAATTTTGAGCTAAAATCAAAAAACAGTGACCACAGGGTAGCAATAATAAAGCTTGAGAAAATCAATAGTTTCATTTATTTTGAGCAGCTCTAGAATCTTTTATATCCTTTTCCCCAGCAAGCAGAAGGAATCCCATTGAGCATATCCAGTATGAGTGTCATAAAAACCTATGTCAGTGGTATTCTCTGTTCCTAACCCATTCTCCAGTACAAATTTAACCCCATACCATGATGCAACCACACCCATTCTTCATCTTGGGGCTGAAAATTCCAGAATGATTTAAAGTCTGGAGAAAACTGAAGATTTTATTTCACTCAAACAATCAAACGATACATATTTAGCCTGTCCGATTCTTAGGTCTTATTTTCTTAGGTTAGAGTCTGTTTTTCCATGAATGGATATCTTAAAAGTTGAACTAAATAGCATCCCCACAGCGTGATGCTGCTACTGCTGTAAGCCACAGTCAGGTGGTGAGTTTAAATTAGTCTACTGCTTTTCGATTTGGAAAAGTGTCAAATTTGATACTTGTGTTTTTCAGGTCTGGATGAATATGGGAATACATAAAAATAGACTACATACACATTTTAGTTTTTTTCCCCCTCTTTTCACCCCACAGTCCCATGTTTAAAGAGCCACTGTAAATAAATACCTGCAATATGATCACATTTTATATTTAAAGCTTTAAAATATGATAAAGAATTTAAATGTGTGAAATTTCAATATGAAACATAAGTATTATCCCTATTACCAACCTATAGTTCTTAACTACATCTCTTAAGTACCGATATTCTTTTATTTGCTGATTTTGGTAAAAACGTTAAGTATCATCGAACAGAAAAATTCACGTCCTGCCATTGCATCATCTAATATCCCTTCTCTCCATGAGAGAGCACCAAAAACGCAATTAATCCAGTAATGGATATGACATGCAGATTGCATAATTGGAGGCCAACAATCAAGATGCATAATGGAAATCAGCTGGATCTGGCCATTTGATAATGGGAACTAATGTTTTAATGTCTCTACCTCTGCTTCAGTTTTCATTTTTTTCTCCCTTCCATTTTTGAATAATGTTTGCTGTAGCTTTGCATGTAAAATTTAAAACATTGTTACAACAGCACATGATTAAAGACATTCGGGCTAAAACGAGAAACAATGACTGAAACATCATCTTTATTTTTTGCAGCTAATCACATTCTATGGTCGTGTTCACAGTGCAAGACAAAAAAGAATTGCATGGGGAGAAACTTAAACCAAGTATTGCTAAACAGAGAAACATTTCTCAGTATATTTTGAATGTAACAACAAAAAGAGTGGCTAAATGTAAAATTTTTATTGTTAGTGATGATAATAAAGTTAGTATGGCAACAACCTGATGGTTGCTGATATGCCAAAGATTAATAGTAAATTTACTTTACAAATAATGCTACATATGAATTAATGGAAAAACAGGGAAAAGGAGGAGACCAAACTCAGTTGGTGTGAGGATGCCAGAGATTAAATAAGATAAAACTTCAGCTGGAGAGTTCTTCCAAGGATATTTCTCCATTTCTATCAGTGATTTAATGTATTTACATATATATATATATATATATATATATATATATATATATATATATATATATATATATATATATATATATATATATATATATATATATATATATAATATATAAAATATGTAAAATCTCTTTCTATATATAGATTTTGTATTTTATATTTATATATAAAACACAAAAAGGTTAAAAACAACACACTGTAACCATTGCTTTAATATATATATATATATATATATATATATATATATATATATATATATATATATATAGATATATAGATATTTTTTTGTTTTAGATTATATATATATTATATATACATATGTAAGCATATATATGATATCTATATATGTATGTATATACATGTATGCATATATATATTTTTAGATTATATATATATTATATATCCATATAGATTTCTATATATTTCTATATAAAACACAAAAGGGTTAAAAACAACACACTTTAACAATTGCTTATATATATATATATATATATATATATATATATATATATATATATATATATATATATATATATATATATATATATATATATATATATATATATATATATACATAAATATATAAAATATGTAAAATCTCTTTCTATATATAGATTTTGTATTTTATATTTATATATAAAACACAAAAAGGTTAAAAACAACACACTGTAACCATTGCTTTATATATATATATATATATATATATATATATATATATATATATATATATATATATATATATATATATATATATATATATATATATATATATAGATATATATATATTTTTTGTTTTAGATTATATATATATTATATATACATATGTAAGCATATATATGATATCTATATATGTATGTATATACATGTATGCATATATATATTTTTAGATTATATATATATTATGTATCCATATAGATTTCTGTATATTTCTATATAAAACACAAAAGGGTTAAAAACAACACACTTTAACAACTGCTTATATATATATATATATATATATATATATATATATATATATATATATATATATATATATATATATATATATATATATATAAATCTCAGTAACTAGAATCATGTGACGCTTCCCAATGTGGTCACGTGTTTTGTGTTTTGTTGACGTTTGTCGGTCGGTGGCTTTTTGCGGATGATTTTCAGACTTTCTCCAGCCGCTGCTGCAATGTCATCGGCCTCTGGCAACTAGCAACCTGGAAGCGACACAGCCGTCAGGCTCCGCTGCCAATGCGCTTAGCTCTTCCAGATGTAGCCGCATATCAACGGTAAGGGTGAAGGAAGAAGGCTTGGAGTGATGTTTCACTCACCGGTGTAGAAAAATAAGGAGGAAACTGTTTATCACCTCGACTGGAGGGGAGAAAGGGAAAGAAAGACCCCGGTTCATATTCCGAACCTGTTTCATTTTAAGGTAACTTTATGTATTTATTTAGCAAAACTCTAAAAAAAAATCAATACCAGCTATAAACATGTAGATATGTATAGATAAAACTTCGATGACTTGTTATTTTTTCCTGATTTGTATCTTAGCCTTATCGTTTGCATTCGATCCCTTAGGATTTGACGGGCAGTTGTATCGTCCAATCAGAGGAGGCAGAATTCTGCCTCTGGCCAATCGGAAAAGAAAAAAGCCAATTTAGGGGCGTTCAGGAAGAGATCCATGTCCATTACAGTCCTAATGTTTACTGGACAGAAAAATCGTTGTTTTTTGTTGTTGTATAACACATGGTCTTTTGAACCAGATTTCAAGGAGAAAAATAATAATACAGTTAGATGTAGCATTATGATTGGAATCAGTGTGAAAGTATAACTTACAAGAACCTTTTCTGCGTTATTACAATGCTCAGACTTAATAATGTGATCATAAAACAATCACAAATAAACCCAAAATTGGTGTTTTAACAGCAATCGATTAACAGAAAATAAATGTATTAACCTTTTTAGTGTTTTTCCAGATTTATTTTTTTTTTTTTGCTTATTTGTATTTCTTTAGTACATCTAGCTAATGGATCTCCGTGGTCAGATTTGAATAGGTAGTTTTTTATATACATATATATATGTATAAGTATGTATATGTGTGTATACACATATATATAATATATGTGTATATCTATCTATATATGTGTGTGTATGAATGTATATATATATATATATATATATATATATATATATATATATATATATATATATATATATATATATATATATATACATATGTGTGTGCATATACATATATACACACAAACATATGTGTATGTGTGTATGTATATCTATATGTAAATATGTATATGTGTATATATATTATATATGCATATGTGTGTGTATGTATGTGTGTATATATATATAACACAAAAGGGTTCAAAACAACACGCTTTAACCATTGCTTTTAAACCTTTAAATGTTCTTGTTTGATTATTATAGTCACAGGTCTTTTTTTATGTTGCTACCAGAACTTTCAGAGTTTTTATTTAGATTTGAGAGTTAATCCTTTGATAGATTTATATTTAACACAGGTTTTCTCTGACTTGACGTTGTGTGTAGATTTTGGAGTGGTCCAGCCAGAGTCCCATATTAATCATTTTTGACACACCATTTTGAAATAAAACAAAACAAGTCAAAGCAGAGAAATATATTTTTTTTCAGTTTATTATATTTTTTCTACATTTTTGCTTTACAGTGTATCATTTTTCATTTTTTATTGAATGATAACAATTGGTAATCTAAGACTGTTATGCTTTTAAATAACTTTCGGATTAGGTGTTTTTGCTTGTGTTTAGCCCCACTTATGACCCTTTAATAGCACACTTTATGGTAATTGTTGCTGCAGTTTTTAATGTATGTCTTTACCAACTCTATATACTATTAGAGATTGAATTTTCTTCTGACTCTTCTTTATAAAATCAGTCTCCATCAATCTAGATGGAGATCACCTCTGAAATGTCCCAGATACCAATATGTTGACTTTGTCCACCACCCCAGTCTCCAGTCTTTAGCACTCTATAACAGATTTTCTTGCACAGCATCATGCAACCATCTCTGTGTTTCACTGTAGCGATGACCAAATGTAGGATTCTGCATGTTGGTCAAAGAATAAAAATTTGGTCTCATCTGTCCAAAGCATCTTTTTTCATGTTTTTTTGCTGTCTTCCCTGCTTAAACGGGGGCTTTCCGTGGCTTTCCTTTAACATTTCAACAATAACCACTTTTGCAGGTTACTGTAACTGTTTGGAGATGACTAAGATTACTCTGAAAATAAAATAGTGCCGATTGCCTAATTTCACTTCTCTTTTTCTGTTTTTTTTCTTCAGTTATTGTTAAGTGGAAACCAAAAGATCAGAGTTCCTTAAGGGGATTTCTTTAAAACAATTTTCAAGATTTAACTCCTTAAAAAAAAAAAAAATCCTCCAAAATATCCATGTCTTTTGTCTTCAGGCTCCTATTGAAAGCTGGCTGGTTGGTGCCTTAAGTCCACTCAGATATGGCTATCTTGAGACAATTTAGACTGCTGGTGTGGAAGAACTATCTTCAGCAGGTAAGTTGGACATCCATTGCGTTTCTGACCTTATTAGGTGCCGACAGTGTTTATGACTGTGCACTGTCAGTAGGTGGTTAAGCTCACAAAGGGAGCAGCTTGTATAACAGTATTTAAGTAATAGGCATTAGGAACACCATAAATACAATAACTTTCCCAACATTTTACATTAACAATTTCAGATATTTTCCAGCCATCTGAAAATAAATCTACACTTTAAAGCTGCATTATGTCACGTGCTTTTTCTCCTTCCTTATATAGCTTTCACAAACCATCGTCTTCTCTTCCTTTATTTGGATTTTTTAAAAGTATTGTGACATTAATCATGAGACCTAACCTGTCAGATGTTTCTCAGAACACCATATCATCAGATTCAAGTTGTGAGAGTTTACAGATGATAGGAAGTCATTCTTCTATTTAATAATGTTTGATTTTTACCCACCCACGGAGAATACTGGCACGGCCCTGTTTGTCTGCGGCTGATAGCAGCTCCTTGCATAAAGCTCAGCATTAATATCAAACCTTTCACAATAACTTACAGTTGAGCAATGGAATGGACTGTTAGCTGTGAAACTTGCGTGCTTTAAAATCTTAACCCCTCTTCGTTCTTCTGAGGGAGATTGCGATTGCTGAAGAATTTTCTTCTGTTGTTAATTTAATTCACTTTAATCTTGAAGCATTTTTTGGCTTCTCTCTTTTTTTCTTTAATTAAACATCCAACACAGACATCAATCTGTCTCATTTTAGCTCCAAAAACTGAAATCTAAACAGTTCCGACCTTGATTTTTTTACCCTCCTTTATTAAATGTGAACTTTAGAGCAGAACGAAGGATCTATTTGAACTTTACAGTGTGGATATTATCAGATAAAGATTCACCAACAAAACCCCAATGATGGTTATGTCTTTGCCTTAAAAGAATAGTTAGTTCTAGAAAAGATTTTATTATGTTCATAAATCCACCCCTCTTTCAAAGTAAGATGTAATTGTTATTGACTCTGCATAAAAGTGAGATAAAATCATGATGTCATTTCTAGTTGTGACCTTTGTTTTGCCTTGGTAGTTAATATATAATGTCCAAAACATTTTTTTTCTTCTAAATACTCAGAATACATCAGTAAAAAAAATATACCTGATGTTTTACAACAGTTTGGATAATTTTTTTCTTTGCGTAAACCATTATAAAATTATTTTTTCTCTTTTTTATTTGTTTTCCATGTTTCAATTTTTCCAATATTTCTGTCACCTGACAAAAGAAAGCATCAGTGGTTTTTATTTGCAGTGTATAAGATAGACTAAAACTAAGTGGTGTGCAATGTTGTGCCAGTTCACGATTAAAAAGAACGAGCTCAAACTTTAGTTCACACAGATGAAAATTAACTAAATCACGTTCATGGTTCACTTTTTGCAAAAAATGACCTAAGTTGACAAACCTATAAAAGTACTAGTTCTAGTTAATTTGGTAAATTAAGCCACAATCCTACACAATAGAACCATATATTTCACCCTGTTCGATCATAATATATAAAAAGAAATAGAAAATACTGGATGCAGTCAAAGTATACTGTATGTGCAGCGAAGCCTTTATTTATCCAAATGATACAGAACTTTAGAAACAAAGAGGTACATTCAGGTTCTGCTGAAAAAATCTGTAAAATGATTTCTAAAGTTCTACGAATTGCGCAGACTAGTACTAGCAGTAGATGTGCTGGTCTGTCATGCTGTCTGCCGTAATAAGTGGCGTGAAACTTGACGTTATCCAATGAAAAGTGTCGCTATATATTGAGCTGTTGTGTCGCTCGTTATTCTCAGAATGAATGTCGCTCTCGTTTACATTCATTACTTTAAAACTGATCCGTTCAGTTCACCAATCACTAAAAATATAAACATATGCATTGAACACATTGGTGGTGTGTTATTGTCATGTATAAGTAAAATATTTTAGGTTTTAACTTTCTTTTACAAATAGAATCTCAAAATTATGAAGTACACTTTTTTCCCCGATTTGTCGTGAAAAACAACAAAAAAAAACTCTGCAGCACAATGCACCTACAGCTATGTTTCATTCAGGGTAAACTGCTGCTGTTTTAGTTCTACCATCCTCATAATAAGTTTAAGTTTTACCCTAATGGCTTGAGGTAAACTTTGAAAAGTACAGCAGCAGATTTATAAAGTATAAAGAGTGCTTATTTCTGACAAATAAAATGCTTAAAAACTTGTTTTGGTTAAGAAGCAAAAAGCAAAACCTGGAAAGGTGCGAGGGGTTTAGTAAGGCGTGTTTTTTCATTTCATTTCCATCTTTATTTCCATGTATTCCCTTTTAATCTAATATTGAAAAATTCTCCATTTCTTCTCTCTAGAAACGTCAGATCCTTGTAACTCTGGTGGAGATCCTCCTGCCACTGCTTTTCTCCGGCATCCTCATCGTTCTGCGTCAGAAGGTGCCCTTTCAGGACTACCCGAATGCCACCATCTATGAAAGCTTCGCTGTCGACAGCTTACCTAAACGTTTTCTGCGAGACCTGCAGCTGGGCTATGTGCCCGGTAACTCCAGCGTGGTGCGTCAGGTGGCAGAAGACGTGCGAGCTAGCCTGTCTCTGGCCTCAGGTGGGCAGCCATCAGATAGTGTAACAGACATTGGGCCACCAGTGTTACCAGTTCTATAGCTACCACTGGTTTGTCAGTGTTTGTAGATCAGGGAAAAACTGGGAATACCGGTTCCTCTGGAAACAGCTCTTGGGAGAAATAAAACAAAAAACAGGGCATGTCCTCCTGCTTTTATCCACTGGTAGTTAAGATGGGGAAGAAAAGGTAGCTCACATACTGTAGCATGTTTGTCTACACCCTCAGGACACCAGTCTAACTTCTTTCATGCACCTTCTCTGCGTAACAACTTATTTAAACAAACATTTAGGGCACCTGGCAGCTCTGCAAACAGGCTGAAATATCTGGCTTCATTTTGACAGAAGGACACACACTGTGACTGCAGGGGAAGCATTAGTTTATGCAACTGCTAGTTTTCCTGTGGCCGGTCATGTGAGATCCCAGCTCAGCTATTAATGAAAAATTTAAATGGATGAAAAACTAGGGGAAATTGGGGGAGAATTATTGGGATTAGATTTAGCTGCTTTCGTGTGCACCAGGTCTCAGAAATTAGACCTTGGAAATTATCCCACAAAAAAATGCCTGATATTATTTAGACACTTATAAAGCTAAAGGAAAGATAATCCATTCTTTTGTGAAATGTTGTAAAAATACATTTAATCGATGAAACGGGGAGGCTATTGCAGTATTACAGTTATTTAGTTTGACTTAATCTGGATTTTTCTTTGCTTTTTTTGTTGTTGGATGGGAAATTCCTAGGATCTACAGTGCCTTGTGAAATCCTACATCTTCAAATCTTTTGCTTTTTGTGGTATTACAGCCACAAAGGCATGACTACATTTTACAGAAATACTTTGTTAAAAACCAAACACTTGTGGAGAATAGATGATTTTCAATGATTTTTTTTATCAACATTAAAAACCTGAAACAGTTTAATTGTATAATCCTAAATATGATTCAGTGCAACCAACTAACTGAAGAAATTACCTACTGTGGGTACTCACAAGTAATTATTTACATTGGTTTTGTCCAAAAAGAGAATATAAATAGAGAATATAGTATGTTAACTCTGGAGGAGCTGCAGGAATCCATGGGTGAGAGAATATAGGGCAGCTCTTCTACTTAAATCTTTACGTTTTTGAAAAATAACACAAAAAACTACCCTTTTTGTGATAAAACCATTGGAAATATAATTAATTTCACATTATGCAAAAAGCTGTGCCACTGGAAGCTGACCAGGCAGATAATCCTCATTTGAAATATGATGGTGGTGGCAGAATCATGCTGTTGGGATGCACCTCAGAAGGAATAAAGAAGCTCGTCAGCGTTTATGGAGAAATGGAACTAAATACAAGAGAATGCCAGAAAAAAAACAGAAGGTTTTAGACTGAGGTAGAGTTTCTCCTGCCAGCAAACAGAGGGTAGCCAGAGGAACAGTGGAGAGGTTTAGTTTAGACCTAAATCCTTGTAAGAATCTGTCAAGACTTGATTTTCACAGACGTTGCACATGCAGTCTGACTCAGGGGTGGGTAGTAATTACTCATGTTTACTCAGTTACATTTACTTGAGTAACACTTTGAAAAGAATGTACTTTTAGGAGTAGTTTTACTGGACTGTACTTCTTATTCCTACTTGAGTAAAATCTCTGACTTTCTTTCCTCTGTGAGTAATTTGAACTATTCAGAAAAATCAGGTAAACAGTAGATATTAAGAGTGGAAGTCTGTTAACCCTGTCCTAACATATATTCAGTTCTCATTGTAAGGATTGGTTTTCTAAGTATTATGTAAAAAAAAAAAAGAAATTGGTAAAAGTATTATTTTCTGCACAAATTTGTTCTTTTATATTTGTGACATTTATTTGTATTTTTTATGCATTTGAGTCTTAAAATGCCAGAACTTGCACAGAATGTCTGTTTCCCAGCATCATTTATAAACATTAAATCTGATGCTATTATATTAACAGTTACTCAGTAATCGAGTAGCCTTTTAGCTGAATACTTTTTTAATTTTACTTGAGTAAAATCATGTTAAAGTAGTGCTACTCTTACTTGGTTTCAATTTTTGGGTACTCTACCCACCTCTGTCCTGACAAATTTTTTTTCACTTTGTAAAGAAGAATGTTTAAACATTATAGTCTCTTTATGTGCAATGCTGGTAGAGAATTAGCTTTTGCATTTAATTTATGGTTTAAAATTTGTAGAAAACAGGTTAGACATAAATGCACATCACACTTTTTAAAGTTTAATTTGTGCGTCTTTGTAAAACTTGTGTATCTTTTTCCTTTTACTTCCACAATTTGCCAAAAGTCAAGAGGTTTGGATACTGTTGCTAAGCAATGAAAATGTGAACATTTGAGATAAATTTCTTCTAATAATAGTTACACTTGCTTCCCCTATTGTTGCACCTTAGCGTAAAAAGGCATAAGAAACCCCAACTGAGTTTAACTGAATCATTCTGAGGCTGTTTCAGTAATGACCTCAGTCATTATTGTTTAAGCTTTGAGTTTGGCAGCCGCTTACATTCCCTTCATGCCCTCAGATTGTTTTTACGCAATGTTTTTTTTATGAGGCTGACCCAGATTTAACCTTGGCAAGATAACACTTCCAGTCTGTGCAGCTTGCACAATGACTTCGTATTTGTTTAATAGAAAAATAGAAAATGAACAATCCACGAAAGAAATTGATTCAATAAACTGCATAGAAAACTTAAAATAATGTTCTATTGTAAATTCTGCTTGGGGAAGCCATTGTTCAAAATAGCGACCACATCTTGATTATTTCATGGCCTGTCAGAGAGAACATGGAAACATGGATACAACTGAACAGGAGAGGAAAAGCACAGCTTCTAGTCTGATGGTCCTTTTTTGTTGTTGTTGTAGTGCGTGGGTTTGAGACAGAGGAGCAGTTTGAGAAGCATGTCAAAACCGACCCTCTGTCGCACAAGCTATTGGCTGCTGTGGTCTTTGAACAGCCCTTCAGTCGTGACGATGAACCCCTACCCCTGCAGGTAACACATACACTGTCACACACGCAAGCATTCTGCATGTAAATACCAGGCCGACAAACCTTTAACTGATCTCTGTGTGAGGAGATAAACCAGCAATGCTGGTTCAGAGGCAGCAGTTTGAATAAAAGGAAGAATTCAGAGTTAATTTTTTAGCTTAGGGGAGAGTAACAGTTGAGATAAAACTTAGATTCCTGTGCAGCCAGAAAAACTAGATAAAGATTAAAGCTATAAGCTCTAAAGGGAAACAACTGACAGACCCAAAGTGTCAGATATACCAGTGAAAGGAAATGTACCCCAGTTACACAGTAAATCACCTTTACAAACCATTTTTTTTCTGTCTTAATACATTATCAACCTTTATGGTTTTCACTTCAGTTCACCTACAGTCACCATAAAATCACTACCCATAAATACATAAAAGATAATATAATACAATGAGTCATTCACATACAAGCCTTTATTGCTTTCGAAAATTTTAGCCTCTTTTTAAGGTATTAAAGAGGATTTTTCTCAGAAATTAAGTGTGCAGATTAATCTAAAATGATGTAATTGATGGCTGTTTCTGCTAGCGGTCCACCATTACAGTGAACCCTCGTTTATCGCGGGGGTTACGTTCCAAAAAGAACCCGCGATAGGTGAAATCCGTGAAGTAGAAATCTTTATTTTTTTTACAGTTATTATACAATGAAATACTCCATACAACATTGAAATCAAGGAACAAAAACTTTTTACAGGCCCAAGCATTTGTTTAACAAATAAAAGTATGGTATAAACGTTGTTAACTACTGTACTGTACTGTAAAATAATATAGTTATAAATAAATAAGTAATAATTTTAATCATCAATATGAAATGAAGGGTTAATATTGCGGGGATCAGCAACGCCCCGCCGTGACGGATTGGAACGGGAGAAAATGAAAAATGATTATGAAAAAAAAAGCAAAGTACAGTAGGACAAATAGTGACTGACGTGTACAGTACAGTATTTCACTGCTGTTCTGACGGAGCCGCTGCATCCTGACTCTGCTCTGTGGCATTTTTTCTTCTAAAGCCTGCGGTGCAGGTGTGTTGTTTGGAGAGAAGAACATAGTTATCGGTAGTTGTTGTTGCTCTTTTTTCTTCTGGGCCAAAAGATCCTTAAACACTGACATGCCACCATTAATAAGTTTGACAATAAAGTTTAACAATGCATGATGCAAATCCGTCAAGCAGCGAGACTGTGAAAAGTGAACCACGTTATAGCGAGGGTTCACTGTACTCTGAAGCACAAAGAAGTACTCATCTGCTTGTTTGCTCCTGCAGCTTTTTTTTTGTTTAGCTATTTGTTCACTCTTTAAATCCCAAAGTAAGTTGTAGCAGCAGCGGCAAGAACACACCATCAAATATATAACTTGCAGCCAGCAGAGACCTCTTCTTATGCAGATTTCCTGCTGACTAAGTACATCCTGGCATATTGCTGCCTCTTTGTATGTGAGGTACGCCGGTCATTGACCTTTACCAAGACACCTTAGAGTAGAACTGCATTCAGTCCCTGGAATGGCATGGCTGTCACTTCCCCTACATAGTAAGGGACTAATGCAGAGGACAAATTTCCCGCTGGGATCAGCTTCATAGTCATAGTGGGACCCTTCTTTGATTTTATTTATTTTGTTTAGGCTAATCGTAAGCCCACAGCCCGCCAAATGTTGAAAGGGCAATATTATTGCCATTACTGTTGTGTATATAGTAGAAATTTTACACATTCATTAATGAAATGTCACAGGGGATATTATTCGGGGATGCTCGTTTAAGAAGGGGGATGCCATCCCCCCTCAACCCCCTGAACTCGAATACTGCTTTCACCACAGAATCCTTTTTTGTGCCTTCAAGAATGAAAGAGGATTGCCTCTGAAAGTTTGTAATAAATGAATAGGCTAAAGAAAAGTAAGACAAATTTCTAAAAATGGAATTAATTGTAACCCAGCACTAAATATATCAGGTAAACCCAAGCTGCTAAAATGCCAGTTTTCTGAACAGGAAATTTTTTGCTGATCATCATATTTCCCAAATTTAATTTTCTTTTCCTGTATTTTTTTCTGTATGCATTCGGGTTCTTTATTTATAGATCAAACCTGATTTTTAAATACTCTGCATAAAAAGGTAGTTTTATATGTACTAGAATGAAGACAAATAATCTCTTCGAATTCACAATTACATTTCTGTAGTCCTAGAATTAGCTTTTTAACCATAAGAATTAGGTCAAACTTTATTGTTTGTCCTTTGCCTCACAATATTTTGCTGGTATTATCACCTGACTTTCCTGGTGTCACTGTGTCCGATTTCTAGGCTGGCTGCTCACTCATTTTTTAAACTTTGCATACAACATTTCTCCGTGACTCAGATCAGAGCTTATCTTACTTCTAAGCATTGATTTTATTGTCTTTGAGCCATTTTGTAATATATTTTGCTCTGTGACTTGAGTCACTGGATCAATTTCTCCCAAGCCTGAACCTGTCTAGTCATGAAAAGCTGCATTAATATTGCTACATGATGTTGTTCTCTCGTATTAGCATCTATTTTGTGAGGCGCACCACTCCTTCCTTTAGTAGATAACCCCACTTTATGCAGCTTTTGCTGCTAGTTCTTCAATTCATAGCTGAGTTGGTGTTTTTAGGCTTGCAAAGTTTCTGTATTTTTCCAAATAAATGGTTAAACGACACAATTTTACTGTCAACACATTACTGAGGATTAAACTCTCCCCGAGGGTTTTTATGTTGCTTTTGGATTAACTGTTTCCTTGCAAAAGCCTTAACAAGAATTTGATGAGCATTTTACTATTTTTAGTTATATATTTTTCCTTTCTTAATATATAGGTGAGCTACCACCTTCGCTTCACCTTCACTCCACGAAATGCGCCTCCTAGAGAGAAGTCTGAACTAAGCCCAAACAGCGACCTGGACTGGCACACCATCAGCCTCTTTCCCCTTTTCCAGCTGCCAGGGCCCAGAGAGCAGCATGACAAGGAAGGTGGAACACCAGGTCAGATAGAAACCCATTTATGCACAGATTTTATACTTTTGATCACTGAATCCTTTTCTTAAACTGAGATAATTATAAGTTCATACTAACTATGTGTGAAATGTATTTCTTATACCAAGGTTATTTCCGTGAGGGCTTTCTGGCCGTCCAGCATGCAGTAGACCGCGCCATAATGCGATCCCACAACAGAACGGGAGCAGACCATCTGCTGGGACAGACCAGGGTAGTTCTGTCCCGCTTTCCATACCCGAACTTTATCTATGATGTCTTCATCTTGGCCATTCAGAACCAGCTGCCACTTCTCTTGGTGCTCAGCTTCACTTATACGTCCCTCAACATAGTGCGAGCCGTGGTGCAGGAGAAGGAACGGAAACTCAAGGTGTTTTTGCTTGTCTTTGTTAAAGAGTAGCTGAAATTCAAAACTCAGCCATTGAAGGTATTCATTACTTCTGCCTGATTTGCTCTTTTCAGGAGTACATGAGGATGATGGGCCTCAGCAACTGGCTGCATTGGAGCGCATGGTTCCTGATGTTCTTCCTCTTTCTTTCCATTTCAGTATTTTTTGTTACCCTGCTCCTCTGTATCCAGGTGAGTTAATGATTAAGAAAAATGGCTTTCTCCATTCTCATGTAAATTTGAAATATTATGGTTTACCACTGTATTATTTACTTAAGAAAAAGTCGATAAAGTACAATGACACTAAAGGTAATATAAAGCTTTATTAGGTTTTATTAAATCTTTAGGTCTCCAAGCCAAAATACATTTAGTCAGATACTTTACATTTGTTAATTAAAACTTTATTTTATTCATTCACTCTTAAAAGTCTATATTTATTATTCTATACAACATCCCATGGCCTTTTTGTCACTCTAGCAACACCATGGTTTGATCGTATTATGATCCTTATAAACAACAACATTCTAGATGAAGATTTTAGGAAATATATGTTGAGTCTCTTCTCAAGTATAACCTCCCATACATTTTATGCTTTTCTAAAACAGTTTCTTCTGTCGAGATTTGGTTGTGGTGTGTTGACCAAAATACAGAGGCATTGAGGCAGAGGTGATTTTCTCGTGGGTTTAATGAAGGGTTAACTGAACACAGAGGCAGGGTTCAAAAATCCCAACATGAAAACAAAGTCCAAACAAACCGGAAACCAGGAATCCGAAATCCAAAAATCAAAACATGAAAACAAAGTCAAAACAAACCAGAAACCATGGAGACATCGGGGGGGTACTATCACGAGGAGAAAAACTCAGAGAGACGGAGTTGGAGGAAGTTAGACGAGAAGTTAGATGAGGAACCAGCACTGAAGAACTGCACAGAGAGAGTATTTATGGGAGACTGAAACAAAGAGAGGACTTAACAGCAGATTGGGAGCAGGTGTGAGCAGAGCAGAAACAAGGAAAGGAGCTAGGAAAAAAGGAGAACACAAGAGGGCAGCAGAGGGCAACAAATAAAAACCTGAGATCTGAAAATAACCAGAAAACACAACAAAATAAGAATGAAACCACTAAAACTAGAAAACATGGTACAAAGTAAAATAGAATACACAAAAGGAAACATAACAGAACCAAGACTATAACATGTTCAAGAAGAAAATTATTGCTTGTTCTTCAGGGGATGGGGTGCAAATTCAAATGTTTTGAAAATAAAGCTTTCATTTAAATTAACTCTGAGAAGAAGCCGTTTCTCATTTGTATCAGTAAGTTACCTACACCTGGCAAAACCTGAGCTCCGTCTCATATGACTGATCCTACCCTTCCTATTGTTGCACTGTCCTTTCGTGCAAACCTTGGCATTTTAACCAGAAGTAAATAACACTTAACAGTGGAGTGTTTTAAGTCTCGTCCTAAGATCCACTTTTACTCTTATAACTCCACATTGTGTGATCCTCTGTGTCCTTTTTATTTATTTATTTATTTATTTATTTATTTATTTATTTATTTATTTATTTATTTATTTATTTATTTATTTATGTTTTTATTTTAAACTCTTACTGCTTTTTTGTGTGTGTTGGATTTTTTTTTTTATTGTACAACACATTGGAAACCTTTTTTGTTGTTAAATGTACTACATAAATAAAGTGGTCTGAAATATTTACATATTTTGGACTTAAAAAAATGTATAAAACAATTATTTATATCTTATATTTATTTCTCAGAAAATGTTATTCTTTTATTCTACACCACTCTAGACACCATGGGTGCATTATTTTCAAAAATCAACTGTTTTATTTGTTTGGATAGTTTAGCTAAACATTGCATAATGTAGTTTACTTAAGCGTGGATAATTTAACCCATCTTAACTTTTAACATATTATCTTAACACGGCTCAACTTAGATTTTAAGTCTGCCTTAGCTAAGCGTTTTTTTAGTTTAGGTTTGACATCTGTTGGTTTAGGTTTGTTTTATCTAATTTATCTTGGTTTAGTTTATTTTAGTTTTGTTTATTTTGTAAATCAGCTGAATAGAATTAACTGTGCAGCTAAATTTTGTTCATAGTAGTTTATGCCAACTTTGTTTAGTTTTATTACAGTTTAGCTGATGCTTATTTTAGCCTATCCAGCAGAGCTTATGATAGTCTAGTTTTGGTTTTATTTAGTTATAAATAACCTCTTTTCTTTGCTTCAGAAAAGCAGGTGCTGAGAACCCTACAAATATCTTTTCCCCTAGCTCAGAACATACTGTAGGTGATTTCTGCTGTTCAGTAACTAAATTCAGAGGTTTTTAGACATTTTCTCTAATACATTTTCTAAGTGTTGCACTCAAAGGCAGATTGGGCTGAAATTGCCAGTTTGAAAGTAAACTTAAGCAGAAGTGGTATTAAAGTAAGCTTACAGAAATAGGCAGCTGCCAATCACAGAAAAAAAAAAGAAATACCGGTACCAATAAATGCAAACAGTAACTCGGATAAATAAAACCTCGGCTGCCAATATTTTCACAGTAGTTGCATTTTGAAAGGGTGAAAAACATGCAGATGAACACCTCCAGACACTCCTGTGGGAAGGTGCTACATCTGTGGAGTTAATGTGAAATTTATAGTTTATTATGAGCATAAAGTTGTTGTATCTTTGTTTGGTAAATGTCTCTATTTTTTGTTTGAAAATTCATCTCATAACTGCCTAAGTTTTGCATGATGCAGAACACATCTTAATAGTCCATGTTATTTTTGCAGGTGAGTCCAAATGGTGCTGTGCTGAACTACAGTGACCCCACGCTGGTCTTCGTCTTCCTGCTCGTCTTCACTGTGGCCACCATCAACTACAGCTTCATGATCAGTGCCTTCTTCTCACGAGGTAGCTACTTCTCTCTTTTGGCTATTTTTGTGCCGTGCTTTTTTAGATGACACACTTTCTCTTTAAAGTAAAGTTTGTGAAACAGTTTGGGGTCCTCATTTTAAGTCCAAACCGTAAAAAAAAAGGTAAAATGCACAAGTGATGTAAGAAAAATCCTATATAGGGGAGTGTCAGTGACTGTGTCCGAACGTCCGCCCTAACCCTTAGATCCCTCAATAACTATACAGAGCGGGGACTATATAGTGACTTTATAATGAACTCAGTTTGCTGACCATTCGGACAGATGATCACTGCTTTTCTTCCTCGTTGGTCACGTAACTCCGCCTCCAATGCGTGGTGTCTGCACCATCTTTGTTATTAGGGCTGGGTATTTTCGCCAAAGTCCTAAATCGATTAGATTTTGATTCATACAGTTCTAAATTGATTAATTTAGATTTAATCTGTTTTTACAATAATGAAAGTGGTTCAACTGTTTTTTTCCGGTCATATTAAACACAAAGTGCAATCTTGTAAATCAGCTAGTTTAAACATGAGATGTGAACAAAACTGTCTCATAAGTGCAAACATGTTTGTGAAAAGTGAAAAAGTGAAGCCTCACTCGAGCAAGCAGACGTGACACAGCAGACATGGAGCTGCAATATTTCCACTGCACAAACCATACTTGCAGCGTTGTCTGTATCAACTACAGGGTGTTTTCTGGTCAGCCCCCAATTATTGATGTCTTCAATCAACCTATCGGATATATTTGCAATTGTCTGGAAGTCATCTTGAGTGCATCTTTCATGCTTATTTGAATGTGGTCACGCAGGTCACTATAAAATGAATCCATCTCATTCCCTAGACATCAATTTTGAAAAAATCTAAAGGAATCGATACAAAATCGATTAAATCAATTTTTTTATTGAGCCCTATTTGTTATTAGTCGCCTATGTCAGGTAGTGAAAGCCTAAGGCGAGGAAAGCTTTCCACGCAAAGCATTCCTGGATATATTTGCTCATCTAGTGACCATAGATGATCAGTACTTTCAAGGTGCATTGTGGGAAATTTCGAGTTCACTACTTTTTCATCCACAAGATGTTCGAACAATCATTTAAAATGGTGTAACCACTATATAGTGCCTATATAGTGCTTAGAGTGGACATTCGGACATAGCCAGTGTAATTCTAAAGTGTTTTCTATGAGATCAGATTTTTTGCTCTTTGCAGTAGAGCTCTAGTGGCCTGCAAAGCTGGGAGCTTTACAACTGAGTGCCTTTTAACATTGACAGCCTTAAAGAGAAAGCAAACTGTGTGAATCTATCGATTCTCATCATCCTTTTCTCCTTCCATCTTTGCTCTTTCACTCACTCAAAGTTCATCCAGCAAACCAAAATCCATTCCATGTAACCTCATTCTAACAATGTGTGTTTTGGGCGACTGGGTGTCTGGGTTTATTATGTGGAGGTGTTTAGCTTGCTGGATAGCAGAAGGGAGATTTCTGCAAGGCCAGTACAATGCAGCTAAAGTTGCAATAATTTATCGTCCATTTCTTGCAGCATTTTACAAAAACAGTTAAACAAATGTGATGTATTTCATAAGAATTCTTTGAATATCTCACTTTCAAAGATTAGAAAGAGGAAAGTCGTAAAAAGCTTAAGATTAATAATTTACATTCTGAGATTTGTGCATGGAATTTTTTTGTTTTGAAATGTGAATTCACTGCGGTTTTTCACCTACGACTCAGTTTTCTTATCTCTTCCACATAAGGAGGTTTTACCTAGTAATCATTATCTACTTTTCCACTCTTATTAATCTTTTCTAACCTTTCTTGCAAGCTGAATTATTGCTGTTGTTAAGTTTGAAAGCTGAGGCATTTGTTGCAAGAAATAAGGTTTAAATGTCCTCGGAAGGAGAGATTTTTAAGTACATACATTTATACCCTGAAAAATCACACAAAAACACTCCCCCCAGTGTAACAAACCCACCCCCTGCATAAAGAGGTTTCTCACACTTGAACATTTGGTTATTCCCAACAAAAAACAATATATTTCATCAAGGACATAGATTTTAGCCAGGTGGACACTCAGAACAGGTCTCCCGTTCACGGCATGAAGGAGGCTGTGTGAACTCATTCTTATCTCTCATGACCCTCTCTTCACCCTTGTCTAGAGAGGTAAGGCAACTGCTTTCTGTCATCCCCAATCTTAACTCCAGAACTTAACTCCAGCATACAGACTGGTATACATGACTGGACTTTAGGCTGAGTAAAAGGCATACTCAAAAAATTTTATCTCAAAAATAGGAAAAATATGCTTCCACACTATATTTGTGAATTCACAAACACACAAGAAAGCGTCTTCTCCTGCTGAAATCATTTGAAGCCGACCCACAATGGATCGGCGATCACGTTTTTTAAGGCGGGACAAAGAGAAGAAGCTCTGAGCTCACAGCTGAACCTCAATTAAAATGGCAGCAGAGGAGGATGTAGACGTAGCTTCTGCTGTCACAGCTGTTTTGTCAGAATCTATGATTTAATTGTTGAAAGAGGAACAGCAAGAGCATAAAAGCATAAGTTGTTGTGGTTTCTCATGACGTCTGCTGCTATTTAATTTGGCACCATGATTGGCTAAAGCCTGACTTTGGTAGGTGGGCGCTGGTTGTCGCTTCACCCAGCTAGAATGAAAGGTTCTGCTAAATGCCCTCATTTTCCTAAAGAGATTCAATGGGAGCATTCCCAGATTAATAACATGTAGAACACACAGAATCGGTGTTTGTGTTGAATCTGACAGAAAATTGTGTCGCACGGGGTTGCGGCTTTTGGCGCTCATTGGGGATGATCACAACTTACACGATTTTAATCAAGGGGGCTTACGTAGGTCTGACTGAGATAGATCCCAGATCTATTTTAGTTCGACTACATAGCAGTTCAGCTGTAATTTAATGGATCTGACAGGAAGAGAGACGCGGTAACAAAGTAAAACACATCCGCTTTGGGGAAAATACAAAATAAAATGTGTTAATCGCACGGGAAAAGGAGCCTCACATCGTGTATATAATAAGTGGGACAGACTTGTGCAAAAACAATTAATGAAACTTTAAAAAAAGTGTACTTTACCCATGATAAGAGTTGAGGTGGATAGAAAACGGATTAAGTAGTGATCCACTTTGAGCCTCGCACAAACAACGAGGGACTGAAATCGCAGTTTATCTCTCTGAAAAAAAATTTCTTCCGGGGGAGAAAATATAGTAAAATATTTATTATTTTAATATTAATATTTATTATTTTAATATTTAGTTTTTGTTTTCTTTAGATGTAGATCTCATTATTTTTTAATATAGGTAAAAAGAACTTTCTCTATCTGTTCTGACTTGAGACGCTGTACAGACTCGTTAAGTGGGGATTTGCTTTATAAAATGCGCCGGTTATTTAAATTTTTTTTTTTAATAACTTTTCATAATGTGTCCAATTCAAATGTGTGATTTTTTTTTTATTTGTGTATAGCACAAAGACAGAAGTGTAAAAAAAATCTGCACAGATCTGCTCACCCTGCCTAGTCGGAGCCTCTTTATGCAGTCGGTGTGACATGGAAAAAATTGGATCGGAGATTAAAAAATCCTATGTAACTGGTGTGTTCAGGCATTTAAACAGAGTGCTACAGCTTATTAAACTGGCCGTTGTTTCATAGTCTATCCTCTCTGTGCCCTGTGCTATAAAAAGCAGAGTTATTTAGATGATGCCAAGTTTTGCTAATCTTAGTAAAATTACACAGTTTTATTTTTCATGTGATTGTAGATATATATATAAGAAATGTTGATTTATTTTCCCTACAAAGGATTGCTTGTTCCAGGAAAAGCTAGGAAACAGAGGATGGGATACAGTCAAACCAAAATCCTCCTTCGTGACCTTTGGCATTTTTTCCAACAAAGAATCGTTCCTTTTTCTTTTCTTTTCTTTTTGTGTTTGCAGCTGCCTGCGCTGCTGTCGCCCACCCACAGATGTACTTTTTAGGAACAGATAATGGCACTTGATCAATGCATGTTCCAGCCGAGCTCAGAATGTCACATTGACTGCTACAAGTGGGCTTCGAGGAGTTCATGTTGTGCTTCTTGGAAACAAGGACAGAGGCTCTTAAAGTCTGATTCTTTCCTTTCCTCCCCATTTTTTTTCCTCCACTAATGTTTCATCTAAATCTCTGGATGGGTTCATTCATGCTGCCACTCAGGGAAATGGATAAAGAAAAGCACAAAAAATTATTTGCCTTTCAGCTATCTGCTCATATTTATGATACTGAGTTTTATCAGGCAGAATTGTATGCACGTAATCTTTCTGGTGCAATTTTCTTCCCATTTTTAACACATTATCAAATGTTTGATGTTTTAGCCAATGTGGCAGCAGCAGCAGGAGGCTTCATCTACTTCCTCAGCTACCTGCCTTATTTATTCCTGTGGCCTCGCTATGACTTACTGAGCCATGCTCAAAAGGTGTCGGCCTGCCTTATCTCCAACGTGGCCATGGCCATGGGAGCACAGCTTATAGGAATGTTTGAAGGCAAAGGTAAGCCTTTTGGTCAAACTTCAGACCTTAAATGCATCAATTATCTTTGTAATTCATGTATTTATTATATGTGTTTTTGCTCCTCAGGTACAGGAATACAATGGTCGAACTTGTGTGACTCTGTGACCGTGGACGATGACTTCTCCATGGCCCAGGTTCTTTCTTTGCTGCTGTTTGACGCGGTGCTTTACGGCCTGGTGGCCTGGTACATGGAGGCTGTGTTTCCCGGGGAATACGGAGTGCCTCTTCCATCCTACTTCTTTTTACTGGTACGCAAAAAATGGAAACTACTAAAACGCATAAAAACATATAAGACTTATCCAAGGGTCACTGTCTATTAAGTGAATATCCTGAACTAAATGGATGGTAACACAAAACAACCGTTATCATCAAAACCTTTTGTTAAAGGAATAATTGTAATCAGAAATATTTTATGAGAGTTTGAATTAAGGTAACATTAACACAGACAGATTTATTTAAAAACTAGAACTACAAATTAGAAATAGAAAGTATTTAAAAATGTTATTTTAAGTGTTTAATAAACAATAGTAAATTCATTTGTTGAACAATTAGAAACCTGCACCAGAGGCAAATAAAATCAACACTATGTAGATTAGTTCATATGATATTTGGAGTTTAAACTTCTTTAATCTTCAGCAGTAATCTTTAAAGTCAAAGCAGATCATTTAAAGAAAATATACAAACATTAGATAAACCAAATGCTTCATTTGATCCAACTCTTCTGTATTTTCTTCCCTTGCACTTGAGGCATCCACAATAATAATAAAGTAAAACCTAAATATTTGTTTAGTTGCAACTGAAACACCTGCAACAGATTCTAATTTAAAGCAAACTAAAACACAACAACAAAAGACTGTTGAGTTATGCGAATGATATTTTGGTGGCTGAGATAGAGCGACTAAACATAAAGCAGAGCGAGAAAACCTTTTCATTCTTCAAAATGTTATATTATAAATGTTAGCTGAGTCTATTCAGAAATAGGACAGGTTGAATACCCACTTCCTGTTTATTTTAGGTTTCAGCAGCAGCTAGACTCTGGGGGAGCATAGAAAAGCAACATAAAATATGCATAAAATTTACTTATGTTTATTGATCTTTGTATTGCAATAACCTTTATGTATTTATTTTGCATTTGAAGGGTTATTCTATGGTGTTGCTGAGAATATTGTTATAATTCTGGCCATTAAAGCTAAAATAAAAAAGATCCTAGGGCAGCCTTTACGGTGTTAAGTACACTGGAAAATCTAAATAACCACTAGATAGATGCAATTACTATAAAAAAACCGGAAACATTGTAAGCAAGACTTACAATAAAGCAGATTCTTTTGTCTGCAGCGTCTCAATGTGAAAAGTTATTGGTGTCAAGGTTTTTTTTTCCATATGTTGGAGTCAGCCGATTTAATGGGTCTGGTTTACACTGACTGAGATCAAAACATGTCATTTTGTTTTATTAAAGTTCATTTTTCTTCATCCAGACACCTATCAGAGAAGTATATACAAGCCAAGAGAGACATCTGCTTTCAGTGAAAGTGGTTTTAGTACAGGAAGAGTGGAGGGGATTAAAAATGGCAGGCATCAACATATCAGCCAGAAGGAAGTCTTCAAATTCAGCTTGTATAATAGAGAAACTACTGAGCAGCCAGTAATAACAGGGTTTATCCTTACATCAGCCTTGCTCAATCACATAAATGGCCAGAGTCTTTACACACAAACACACACACACACACATGTCCAACAAATCTTATTTCCCAGTGGTGGAGAATGATTGATGCAGTTTAGTTGTGACGCATTTCTGTTGGCATCCATTGTGTGTGTTTCTTGACATTTCCTTATTGTGTACATAAATGTTAATATTGTTAGTTGTAGGAGTTCTGGGGCTGCGCAGTTGCGTAGTGGGTAGCACTGCTGACTTGCAGCGAGAACGTTCCGGGTTCTATTCCTGACCCGGGGTCTTTCTGCATGGAGTTTGCATGTTCTCCCTGAGCATGCGTGGCTTCTCTCCGGGTACTCCGGCTTCCTCCCACTGTCCAAAAACATGACTGTTAGGTTAATTGGCTTCTCTAAATTCTCCTTAGGTGTGAGTGTGAATGGTTGTTTGTCCTGTTTTTCTCTGTGTTGCCCTGCAATGTACTGGCGGCCTGTCCAGGGTGTACCCTACCTCTCGCCCATAGACTGCTGGAGTTAGGCACCAGCACCCCTCAAAACCCCCGCTGGGATAAAGTGTGATGGAAAATAGATGGATGGATCTTGGAGTTCTTGTTTCCTGTTTCATATTACAAACTAGATCCGCTTCCAAGGGAAAATACTATGTTTTTATTAGACTTGATTGCAATTCTTTTTCTTTGTGCTGATCTTTCCAACTGCAGCCTTCATACTGGTGCAGCAGCCCTCGTGTGGCTTTGTTGAACGAGAAGGAAGAAGAAGAAGATGCAGAGAAAGCTATGAAGGGAGAGTTTATGGAGGAGGAGCCAGCTGGAGTAGTGTCTGGAATAAAGATTAAACACCTCACTAAGGTACGACTCTTGTAAAATAACCCTTTATAAGGCTAGGTGTGCTGTTTTTATGCTAATGCTATGGAGTGCATCTCTGCTTTTCAGATTTTTCAGATCGGGCCAAGATTTTAAACATTGCTTTAATTGAGTGTTATGTTATTCTACTCCAAAAATTATTATGAGTTTACATTAACTCAGCTAAATACACATTTCATTCTGGAACCTTAAAAAATAATGTTTTGACTTCAAACACTAAAATAAATGTAGAATAAATTGTAGTGCATCTTCATTGTGATCGTTTATTAAACTTTAAAAACTAAAAATGATTATGGTTTTATGGTTATGGTCTTTTTAAAAGCCTTCCAGTCTTTGTCGTATTTTTTTAAATTTTAAGTTTTACATCTACTAAAATCCGGACTGTCTGCAGGAAACTGGGGCAGAAACGTGTCAAATAAATTGTATTTATAAAAGAGTTAGAGCTCAGTGACCATCTTTTAGCTGCAAATCTGAGACAAACTGAGTTTTTTTTACCCAAGGTGTATTGATAAAAAGTTAAACCTCTAATGGATCTGGGTGTCTCATTCTGCCAGGACTTCAAAGTAGGAAACAAGACACGACAGGCTGTGCGAGATCTGACGTTGAACATGTTTGAGGGGCAGATCACAGTGGTGCTTGGACACAACGGTGCCGGGAAGACCACCACGCTCTCCATGCTTACAGGTTACCAGCCGCAAACATGGCAGTAAATTACGTGAAAACAGTCACCTAACGGCCATCTGTCCTGTTTATGTCACATTGTAGGTCTGTTTCCACCCACCAGTGGCAGGGCGTACATAAACGGCTACGACATCTGTCAGGACATGGCTCTGATCCGACGCAGTCTGGGTCTCTGTCCCCAGCACGACGTTTTATTTGATAACCTCACAGTGAGAGAGCATCTGCTCTTCTACGCGCAGGTATTCATTTAGCAGCTACATATAAAAGGACTGTGTTGTTTGTGTAGATAGGCTCATGATGTTTTCTCACACTAAGATATAAACGTAATATTTGTGGACTGTACCACTGTTTTTAAGAGCTGCTACCTAACCTTTACAGTACTTAAGGTGTAAGCTTTTGACAACTTCTGCTATAGAGTACTGCTTTTTTTGGCTGTAGAATGAAAGAACGAAGTGAACAGAACATAAATAGGTCATTGTTTGTCTTGTGTTTCCAATGTTAAGCTAAAAGGCTTTCACAAGGAGCAGATTTCAGATGAGGTGGATCGGATCATCTCCATCCTGAATCTTGAGGACAAGCGTCATTCTCGCTCCAAGACCCTCTCTGGTGGCATGAAGAGGAAGCTCTCTATCGGCATCGCCCTCATTGGAGACTCCAAGGTCAGAAACATTGACTGTTACCTTTCATGGTCGTGCATTTCTTTCCCGTTCCCCTCAAACAGTGAATATCTCCTCTGCTCCTGCCTCCAGGTTGTCATGCTAGACGAGCCCACGTCGGGTATGGATCCATCGGCACGGAGAGCCACCTGGGACCTTCTGCAGGGAGAGAAACGAGGTCGCACCATCCTCCTCACCACTCACTTCATGGATGAGGCCGACCTGCTCGGCGACCGGATCGCCATCATGGCGGGGGGTGAGCTGCAGTGCTGCGGATCACCACTCTTCCTTAAGAACAAATATGGTGAGTTTTTTTAATGATCTAATTAGTTCTTTTAAGTTTTTACCTTTTCTTTGGTGCAACAGTCTTTATTTCATGCCAGTTTCCCTGATTTTCATTACAACTAAAATCCTCAAATTAGATTGCAGCACTTTGCCAAATGATCCGTCCATGTTGACCCACCAGAAAAAAGAAATAAAGATCATTTTATTTGTTAGATAATTGTTTTGGCAAAATAATGTATCAGTATATTGATACAATATATATATTTTTATTTTTATATATATATTTTTATTTATTAATGAAGGTTATTTCCACTTATTTCCTGTTATGTTGTTTTCTATTGAGAATTGTGTTTAAAAATCTTTCTTGACATGATTGTTAAAATATGATAAAAAAAATATGAATAAAGCTCATAAATAATTGCTTTTATATGCTAGGTGCTGGCTACCACATGGTGATCGTCAAGGATGCACTTTGTAATGTGTCTGAGATCACTCGCCTTGTTCACATGTATGTTCCCAATGCTACACTGGAGAGCAGCGCTGGAGCAGAGCTGTCCTACATCCTGCCTAAAGAAAGCACCAGCAAGTAAGTTATTGTAACCTGAGGTCATTCCAGCTGAACCGCATGTAGTTACAGTTAGTTAGAGCGGCCGAAGCATTAAATCAACTTAAAATTCCTTTATGACACTTGTATCTGTTTTTGAGGGGACTATATTGTCCAGAAATACATTATTATATATTTCATTAAATAATAAAATCCAGAGTCAATGCACTTGTTAAATGCTACGAAACAGAGCTTATTTTTTATTTTTCTTATTGCATGTAAAATAAGCTTTATTTCTTTTTTCTTTTTCAATTTCTGTGAACAGGGTCAAACAATAGATAATAAACTTTACAGCAGTTTGAAGCAGGTATTGGCTGCTTTGAGTGTCGGGGTTCATGTTATTTACATAAACTTTTATGGGCAAAAATGTACAATATGATCTCTTCTTTTAAATAAAACTGAAAAGGCCACATTTTGCTTCACTTTTCAATTCTGCTCCTCAAAGACTAGCAGGACACCGCAAACCCAAATACTTCAGAATGCTTAAAAATTAAGTGGTAACTGATTACCTAAGTGTTTTTCTGTAATAAAGTTAGACAATTTAAGTACTTACATGTTTTACATCACGGTGCTGTAAAACATATTCTAAATTAATTAGTCAATAACTTTGAGGTAATCAGTTTCCACACTCGTTTTAAGTATTCTGAACTAATCAGGTTTGCTTGTAAAAGGTTTGTTAATCAGTTGCTTTGCAGAAACACAGTTTGTAGTTTTCCCAGTTTTAAAACGCTTTTGCAACAACTTTTTTTATTTTCTTTTTGTGAGCAAGACTAGAGCGGCTGCACAGTCTTTCAGCCAGCTGAACTGCAGTGCAAAGCAACAGGTAGAGAAGGGACCGTTCAGTGTTACCCATTGCTCCATGCTTCCAGACACTTTGGTGTTTTCTCTGGTGTCTCAGCATGCAGTAGGAACTGTGTTTGTGGTTTGTTAATTGCAGCGTGACACGTCTCTCCTCTTGTGTTTTCTTGCAGGTTTGAGCTGCTGTTTGCTGAGCTGGAGATGAATAAGGAGGAACTTGGTATTGCAAGCTATGGAGCCTCAGTCACCACCATGGAAGAAGTTTTTTTGAGGTAGGAAGTCTTTTTTATTTCCATTCCTCATTGGGTAACATTTCTTGATAGATTTCATCCAAATCTTTTGGAGGAATTATTGGAGAAATTATTGCCACAGATAAACGAATTTATTGCAACATGTACACACACTGTTCTGCATAAACAGGTTTGTGTAATTTTTTAGCATGAAAAACCCTTATGAAGAATTCCTGTGTGTTGTATAATTTTCTCCCACATCATTTATTACTTCAAAAAATATTTGTCTTCCTCTTCAAACTGGAGCGTATGTTTGCCTCCCCTTCTATGTTTATATCATCCAGTTCCTGCTGTGCATTTCTTACTTTATTTCTGCTTCCTTATGGGTTTAATTCTGCATCTGTGGTAATGAGATCGCAGCCGCTTCCTCTGTGGAAGACGTAACTCTGCTTGCTGCTGAAACTGGCTGTCTGAAGATAAACTCGCTGCTTCCAAGGCCTCGTTATTTATGAGTCATGCTGAGAGTCAAGCAGTGTGTTCTGGTCATTTACAGAAGAGAAAAAAAATGGCACAACCACAAAGCAGTTTTAAAGTTCTAGTTGCCAAGAATTATATTTAAGCATGTTTTAGTTTGTGGTTTCATCTATTGATTAAATTTATACCATTAACTAATGTGACAATATTATCCCACTACTGCTGAACATCCTTAGGGTATCCAAACAGTGAATGAGTCAAAACAAAACTTGAAAAGCTTTTTTGATTTGAGAAAAAACTAGAACAATGCATGGTGCCTCTACTTTAAACACAACATGCATCGGTGTCAAAGTTTCTGCAATTAAAAAGCCAATCATGCTGATTATATATGTTTTCTTATCTTCTTGATAAATCTGTATACATTTGCAGTAAATGTCTTTGGATGTGATGTTTATTTATTGGCGACTGCTTTGAATTTTTCTCTTTGGACTTTTGGATTGAAGATGCAGCTAATTTAGCTTCTTCTGATTAACCATATAATCCAGCTGGCGGACATATTTGTAATATTCCCTATAGAGGTGAGGTTTTGTACCTTACCTTCAACTCTGATTATGAGCATCCCAAATCCGTGTGTTTTCCACAGCCAACACTGCGTCCAAATTCGCCCTTTTTAAATTTGATTCAGTCTCAGGCAGCACAGTTTGATGTCTAAGTTGACATATTTGAGCTTTCTCTCTTAAACACTTTAAATAACACTTTATAAGGTTTATTTATTAAAACACTATGAGACATGACAACAGATTTTGACAGAAATGGTGATTGAACTCAGACCAGAGAAATGGCTCAGGTTATAGATGGAAGCGTTTATCACCGGGCTCGTTTCATCTTCATCATGAAGTCAGCCCAGAATACAAGTTAAAGAAGCACTTTATGGGCGAACAGGTGGTGCAGAAGTTAGTGTGCATGACCCATGTGCGGAGGCCTTAGTCCTCGATGCAGCTGACCCGGGTTTGAATCCGACCTGTGGTCCTTTGCTGCATGTCTATCCCCCTCTCTCATACCCCCTTTCCTGTCAGCCTAATGTCAGAAAAACGAGCCACTAGTACCATAAAAAACCAAAAAGAAAAAAAAAAAAAAAAAAAAAGAACTTTATATATTTCCAGTGTCAAACTCGTATGACATCATACTCATCAGGAGACCTCACTGGCCATACAGAATATTACAGTGTTCTTAGATCAAGGACAACTCGAATGCACAGTGACATTAGTTTAGAAAAACTATCTGTATGCTTCCATTTCAGTCCTACATTTTCATGTACATAATGAGGACGATTACTTTTTATTTATTTATTTATTTTTTTCCAGCTTTTATTGTGATTACCTTGTCACAGGTACAGAGCAACGAAATGAACTCTCTGCATTTAACCCATCCCCTTGGGGAGCAGTAGGCTGCCATTGTGCGGTGCCCAGAAGCAGTGTGAGGTTAAGGGTCTTTGCTCAGGGAGCCAGAGTGTCAGTCTGTGGGAGTGGGGCTTAAACTCAGAACCTCAGGATTCCAAGCTCTATGCCCTAACCTCTAGGCCGCCACTCCCCCACTATCTCATTTTATTCTAATTAGATACATTGCTTTGGAAAACATTAGCCTTAACATGTAAAGGGAGATTATCTTAGGGTTAAACAAAAAAAAATTATCCTAACACTCTGATTCGGCGCCCACTGATTTGTTTTTTTGTTATTGGGCACATTACATATTGCTAATGTTGCTCTCTGTTCCCTCCACCTTCAGTGCGAGGATAGGCGATGGTGCCTTTACTTTCCCCTCAGAAAAAAATCTCACCATGGTATTGGCAGTTTCAAAGGACTTAGAGTAGATGTGCTGTAATTTCACCCTCAAAATTAACCGGATGTACATTGAATTTGCCGGTGCCCCTGCATCCAAAGTATTCAATGCGTGGTGGACCACCGTTCTGTGACTCTCCTCATCCCCAGTAGTCACCAATTACTTTTCTGAGCGAGTAACTAATTGAAGGAATAACTTCCTATATCCCTTTTTTTCGGTGGTAAATACCTGTAATCATTTGTTTATATTTGCAGAGTGGGGAAGCTTGTTGATACTAGTTTGGACATTCAAGCAATCCAGCTGCCGGCTCTTCAGTACCAACACGAGAGACGCTCCCATGATTGGACCACAGATGACGCCAGCAGCATCAGCGGCCTGACAGATGTCACAGATTTCACAGACAGCGGCACACTCGTGTCTGAGGATGGGTCAAATATTAAACTGAACACAGGGGTAAGATTGATGGTTTTCTTTATATTCTCCACATGACTCCTACAGCTCTGTTTACGTTTTTTTACGTGATTCGCTCCAACAGGTAAGACTCCACCTGCAGCAGTTTTATGCCATGTTTCTGAAGAGGGCACTGTACAGCTGGAGGAACTGGAAGGTGATGGTGGCTCAGTTTTTGGTCCCTTTGATCTTCACTGTTGTGGCCTTAGTAGTGGCGCGCACCCTTCCCAACCACCAGAATGCTCCACAGCTGAGACTGGACCTCAGCCGCTACGGTCCCACCAGGGTCCCAGTGGCCCTGCAGCCTGAGGCGGGTCCCCTTGCATCTTCTCTTGCCAATATGTATGCCTCCCAGCTCCTGGCACAGCTGGGCGAGCTCCAAAATATCACAGGTGAGAAACTGATAGAAAGATGTAGAGAAAAGCTCTCAGCTACCATGGTTACAATCTCTCTGTATAGAGAGAGTCTTTTCCTAAAAGGTGGCACACAAGAATCGGAAATCTGTTTGTCTCAAAAAGTACAAGTACTTGCAGTTTGTCTAAAAGGCTTTAGATGGTTGCAATGGTCAGGTAAATGCAAGTGTTGGAGGATAAGCCAATCCCCAGCTGAGACAATAGATGAACCGATCAGGATTTCAAGTGGGACATTCTCACAAATTACTTCAAGATCTTACATCGTAGCGTTGGATCTATGCTTAGGGTTACTGTCTTTTTCAAGTATTTTGTATCAATTAGTGCTATAAATTTCTCTGCTAAAGAAATTTTTCCCTAAAGTCACAGATTTGTCTTCTACTTCAGAATAATGCATTAATATATATCAGTGCAGCACCTAAAATACAGATGAAAAAAATGGCAGATTATTTTAGTAAGTCATGTTCTCAAAATGCCTCCATTTGGATTTAACTATCTAAAACTAGGTTATATGAAGAAATCAAATCACAGTTTGTCTTCTGTCTCTTTGACCATGTAGACTTCACTGATTATGTCCTGACGCAAGCAAAAGCAGAAGGTGGAAGCTTCAATGAGCGCTGCGTGGTGGGTGCTGCCTTCCTAGGCAGGAGCAGCTGCTACTCGGAAGCTACAGCCTATTTCAACAACCAGGGCTACCACACGCCTGCCACAGCCCTCATGATGGTGGATAATGCTCTGTTCAGACTCTTAGCCGGGCCCAACGCATCTATCCTGACAGGCAATTACCCCATGCCTAGAAACCTTTCTGAAGCTGCGAGGAGCCAGCTCACAGAGTGAGAACAAGACACAGTATCCCCATTAGAAGAAACACAAGCTTAAAACGTTCATAGATAATGATTTCTTTATTTTTCCTCTGTAGGGGTAAGACTGGGTTTGCCATTGCCATCAATCTGATGTATGGCATGGCCTCACTGTCCAGCACGTTTGCATTGCTGCTTGTAACTGAGTCCTCCATCAAGTCAAAGCACGTGCAGCAGGTCAGCGGCGTCTACCTCTCCAACTTCTGGTTCTCTGCACTGCTGTGGGACCTGATCAACTTCCTGCTTCCGTGCCTCCTCATGCTGGTCAGTGAGAAACCTGACCTCACTTCACAGAGGAAAGACACTTAGGGCCGGATTTATCAAGATCCAATTTTGCGTGCAGTAATTTGCGCTCGCAAACTGGAATTTTGCGCGAGGGGCTGAACCATGGTTTGCGGGTGATTTAACAAGAGCGATTGCGTAACTGGTGGAAGGTGCAAAACTGTTGGAGACGCCCTATTTAAATGATGGTTTTGCGCGTTTTGTGGTTTGCGGCAAAGTAGTTTGTAGTCTGTACAAACTAGTGCATTAAGAAATTTAAATCTTACAGTGACCCCCAACAAAAAAAATAAATAAGTAAATATATATATATATATATATATATATATATATATATATATATATATATATATATATATATATTTATATATATATATATATATATATATATATATAAATTGGCAACCTTTATTCCCTAAGGTGGTATGTGCTGCAGTAAAAAAAACAAAAAAAAAACATGTTTTGTATTGGCCTGTGACTGTGGATGAGATCCCCGCAGCATTTGGTACGTTGCTCCACAGGCGCAGGGGGAGAACCCCGACCCCGTCGGACAGCACTTCTGAAAAAACAAGATTGGGAGATCCCAGCTCTCGCTGCAACCGTACGCTGGAATGACCCAGATGCAAAAAAGTGCAATGTTGCAAGGAGTTTTGTGATATCTGGTATTGCGTGGGTCCTCCTTGTGGCTGGCTCCAAATCCATTCGGATTCCCCCAACAGCTCCAAAATGGCAATGCTGGATAAACGATATGTTTTGATGATCGTTTCCTCGTTCATTGCAAAAATATTCACACGGAGTGAAAAAATGCGTTCTCTGCGTCTCCTTGCTTTATTTCCATGTCTCCTTCTTGCGACAATAACCGCTGCCATGTGTGCGCAATTACGCATACAGACCATTTGCACCTTCTTTTGAAACGTGTTAAATATAGAGTCAGATACCGTTAGCAAAATTGCGTTCAGGTTTGATAAATCACTTTGCGAGTGCTAAATTAATATATTTACATGTTCTCCTCCCACAAGACGCACTTTAGCGTGTAAACGCCCCATATTGCATATTCATTGCAGAAAAAGTACTAAATGGATAAGAGGCGCTATTTAGCACGTTTTAAAGACCAAATCCTTTTAGCACGCTGTTGATAGATCAGTTTGTACATTTTTTAGCGTGCGCAGTGAAATAGCTCACGTTTTAATACAAGCAAACCTTTGATAGATCCGGCCCTTAGACCTAAGATGTTTGAACCGAGTATATTTTTTTTTCTGTTTTGCCTCTTTCCAGGTTGTATTTCAGGCGTTCGGAGTTGAGGCTTTTGTTGCGGATCACCACCTAGTCGACGTTCTCCTGATACTTGTCCTGTACGGCTGGGCCATCGTGCCTCTGATGTATCTGCTCAGCTTCCTGTTTTCCACTGCTGCCACTGCCTACACACGCCTCACTATCTTCAATATGATCTCCGGCACTGCCACGTTCCTGGCAGTCACTATCATGGCCATCCCAGGTGAGACGCTAACAAATAGCAGAAAACACTGAAAATCTCAGAATGAAAAAAAAGTCTGAGTTTGTCCCCTGATTGGTTGCAGATTTTAAAAATAACTGCAACCATAAAAAATGCTTCAGCTCACATACTGTCAACAACTGTCTCCTTTTGAGCATGCAGATACATTGCCTTGCTAAATTATTCTGGCTCCTGAAATTTTTTCAGACTTTGTCATAATAAAATTGCAACTTCAACTTCAAGCTAAAAAAAATATGCACACATACATTTTAACACAGACATTAAAAAACAATTTTTTTTAGTTCTTATGTTCTATTAAATGTGGTTTACATATGCAAATCTTATCCTCTTTTTGCTGAACATGTACTTAAATATATTTAATATTTACAAAGCTACACATGGAATCTACATTTATTCATATTTGTTGAATGTATCAATGCTATAATTGAACACACAGTGGAGAAAAGTTCAAATAATTCAGGAATGGATTTGGAGTTTTCAAGCATCATTAATCTTTATTAGTTGTAACGATAAAGGAAAAATGTTATCATGACAGGGACTTTATCACAGTATTAATAAATGGTAATATATATGCCTACTCCTTACATTGGAGTACTATCATCTAGAATGCGCTCTTAAATGAGAATTCCAACTGGAAAAATCAAAGAATCAAGTAGCTTCATGTTTAGCATCTAACATGGCTGCTGCTCGTATAGAAAATAGTGAAATTTGTACGTTTAACCTGTTTTCTTTTTATGCACCTCTGTGGATTTGTATTTTGGACCACTTGCAAATATCACTCTTCCAAATTTATAGGTGAAGATTTTTTTTTTTGAATAGATAAAATGAAGCTAGTTACGTGATTAAATAAGCTTGTATTGCTAACAGTAGATGGCAACATGTAGATTAGTAAATCCCAATGCGATTTTTAAATGACATTTTGTCATTCTCATCTCTGAGCTCTGTCTTTAGAGGCGAAGCAAATGCAGCAATACCTTGGAAATTGCATCTGTAATTCCAATGAAAGCTAGTTCTTAGAGGAATTAACTAAAGATGCACTGAATATGAATATTTACCAAACTTTTTAGATGTTTATTTGTAAAAATGTTAAAAAGCACCTAGACTTTTCTTTCCTTTTCAGGAACTATTTTGTGCTTGTGTAATAAATTAAATTATTTGTTAATATTTGTTTATAGACAATAAGATTTGCTGGAGACCTCGTATAAAAAACATTTAAACTATAATATCCAGAAGTATTGCCATTCTCAGCAAACATTCGCAAAATTACGCTTCACTGTATATTCTGTATTCCTCACTTATATTACCTTATTTGGGTTACTTTGAGGAAATATGGGGCAACACTTTACTATAAAACCTCGCTGCTGCCGTTATGCACGTTACAAAAAAGGGCCATCAGAATGATTCATATGGCAGGATTCCACAATCATACTAACGTACTATTTATAGAGTCCCACCTCCTCAAACTCCCAGATCTGGCAGTAAAAGTGCCGATGTACAAGGGTATAAATGTGGATTTTGGCCTAATATGTTTGTGTAGGTATCTATATGTATGTATACATGTATATGTATGTATGTATATATATATATATAAGCGTGTGTGAATAATGGATAAGAAACATAAAAGTTTAACACAAAGGTTACTCTACCTTAAGTTAACTTAAGTGCAATTAGAGGGGTAGGGCATGTGAAAAATTAGTTTCAAACAATTTACATTAATCGATGTCGTTACTCTGGCTGTACTATATACCGACAGGTTTATTTGGTGGAGGGTTTTTTTCTTCTATTTATGTTCAGGTAAATTTAGTTTGTTCGGAAATTGGTGTTCGGCTTAGTTGTGTTAAGTAGTCTTTTATGTGTAGCTGGTTGATTCATTTGTTGTTGTTTGTCAAATTGTCTGAAATAAATTCCTATTCATAATATTACATTATTACACTTTTAATCAGTGATTGAATCGAGATAAAATAGTTCAAAACGCATAAATACTTAAGGAAAAAAAGTAAAAATGCACTGAACAACTTTATCTTTTTGTTTGTTACTACAGTAAATACAGTATTCTTTATTACTGTGTGGGCAGACATTGAGGAATAATATTCACAGGCTTAGTTAAAGTGGGATGTGTGAAGGCTGTTGTTGTGGAAAGGTAAGAAACTGCAGGTGTGATTGTAACTGTATGCGGGAGGGTGTTTGTGTTTGTATAAATCCTTCAGCTGACTATAAAACATATTAAACAAGAGGATTATACAAAGCCTGAAAAAAGTGTACACTATCTCTGTTTATTGGTGTCCTTCATGTTTCCCTGCAGAATTGAACCTTGTGCACCTGTCACACTTGTTGGATAAGGTCTTCCTGATCTTCCCCAACTACTGCCTGGGCATGTCATTCAGCCAGTTCTACCAGAACTATGAATTTATAAAGTTCTGCACCTCAAGTCCCATGAGCGAAACAATCTGCAAATACCTAAGTAAGTGCTCTCTCAAAAGTTTATAAACTTTATGAAAATCATTTACTTAACTGAGTGTTTCTCTGTTTGCAGACATCACATACCAAACAAACTTCTTTTCGATGTCAGAGCCTGGTGTGGGTCGTTTTCTGGTCTCCCTCTCTGTGCAGGGCGTCGTCTTCAATGCGCTGCTGTTTGTCATCGAGCTGCAGTGTGTCCGCACCGTCTGCAGACTCTTTACCTCTCTGGGCAGAAGACGCAAACAGGTGGAGGCATTAAAATGACTTAGTCTGACTTTTTTTTGTATATACATGTCCTTAAACAGCAGCTTGGACAACAGGATTGCAATGAGATAATGCAATGAAGGAGAAAAATCTAACATGACGAAATGGCTACAGTTTTTGGTGTTTTTGGTGTTTTTGTTTTATAAGCTTCAGAATAAAAAAGCAACTGTGTTTTCTTTGTGACTGTGAAGTAAAATGACATATTGTTATGTGTTATTGTTCATAAAAGAATTAACTTCTTAATTTTTAAATTAGTTTTAGAAATTTAGAAAAAAATTCTGTTTTCATTCGGGATCCAGAATGTATTTGAAATAAATCTAATTTAATAAAGCACTTTGAACATCTGTAATGGGACATAAGAAAATACATAAGAGGAAAAATTATTTTGGTACTAGACCTTCATCAGGCAAACATTTTGCCTGTTTAAGGTCTAGTTGGGAAGTTAGTATTCAATCAAGATGCAGCCTGATTGCTGATACAGGTTAACGTACTGGGTTAAGCTGAATATAGAGGAAAATACAACCCTAAAAAATGTTTACAAACATAAACAAAGAAAAAAAATATGCTAACAAAGAGAAAAAGCTGCTTAATATTGGATATGGACCATTGACTTCTTCATTTGTTTCATTTTTATTAATAATTAATATCATTAATTTTCTATTTATGACTATAAATCAAAAGAACAAAATAGACTATTTTGATGTTTTCATCTCACATATTGACTCTGGCCTCAGATGCCTCTCTTAGATGATGCAGCGTTCCTCCCTGAGGACCGGGATGTGGCTGAGGAGAGGAAGCGGGTCCTGGAGTGCCAGCCGGTGGTGGAGTCCATGGTGGGCAGCCCCCTCATACTGCATGAGCTCAGCAAAGTGAGTTGCACAACCGCTTCGATGTTTTTGTGCTCTGCTGAGGTTTGTAAACATGGAGCTAGAATCATGGTATGTTTTGTACAGGTTTACAGCAGTGGGGAGAACCTCCTGGCTGTAGACAGACTGTCGCTGGCTGTAGGGAAGGGGGAGTGTTTTGGCCTCCTGGGCTTCAACGGGGCAGGGAAGACCACAACGTTTAAGATGCTGACGGGTGATGAGAGCGTTACTTCAGGAGACGCATACATAGACGGCTACAGCATCCTGAGGGACATTAAAAAGGTATGACCGACATTTAGAATTTAAATGAATAAATACTAAAAAAGCTCATATTTCACAGGAATATGTATCTTTGGGTCTCAGGTACAGCAGCGCATAGGTTACTGTCCTCAGTTTGATGCGGTGCTGGACCACATGACAGGAAGAGAGACGCTGAGCATGTACGCTAGGCTGAGAGGAATCCCAGAGAAGTATGTACCGGGCTGTGTGGAGAACGTCCTGAGGTCATTGCTGCTGGAGCCTCATGCTGATAAACTGACCCGCAGCTACAGGTGGAATTAGTTCTGTCCTTTACAGACAAGATCAAACAATGAATGCATTTAGTATTAACGGAGATGTTTAAACCCATGCAGCGGTGGTAACAAGAGGAAGCTGAGTGCAGGAATGGCTCTGATTGGTGGACCTCCAGTCATCTTCCTGGATGAGCCTTCCACAGGGATGGACCCTGTGGCCCGGAGGCTGCTGTGGGACGCAGTCACACGCACCCGGGAATCTGGGAAAGCCATAATAATCACTTCTCACAGGTTAGCTGTGTTTATTGCTCAATATTACCTCAAAAGTATGCAATTTCTGCATATTGATGGATGTAAATGGATGGGTTTTCTCTCCAGCATGGAGGAGTGCGAGGCGCTTTGCACCAGGCTGGCAGTGATGGTTAACGGTCAGTTCAAGTGCCTCGGGAGTCCCCAGCATCTGAAGAGCAAGTTTGGCAGCGGCTACACCCTCTTGGCTAAAGTACACAGGGAGGATGATTTGGAGGACAGCGACCTGCTGCTTTTTAAAGACTTCATTGAAAGTACCTTTCCAGGTCAGAGATGTCCCATTAAACAGAACTGATCACTGTGAGCTCTGTGCCGTTGATCAAATCTCACTTTGAATTTTCTCCAAAAACAGGAAGCCAAATCAAAGATGAGCACCAGGGAATGGTTCACTACCACCTCACTGATAAAACACTAACCTGGGCGCAGGTACAGTAGCTATGAAAATGTCTGAATAACTGGTACCTCAGACGAGGGATAAGAACATCCTCTCTAGTTTAGCTTTGTTAGAGCTCCCTCTAGTGGACAGGGAGTAGCTGAACAGTTTAAACTTTTCTTGCTGGGCCCTTCATTGATTCACAAGTTTTCATGCCCCCAACAATAACCCCCAACCTCTTCAACAGTTCAACATGGAAAAGTCAACAGCAGTAGATTAAATAGTGCTATAAAATATGCTACTAAAATGTCCTTTAATTAATACAACTACTACTTTTCAGTTCAATTATTTTAAACTCTATTGCGATAGATATTTTATTGTTGTTTAAATTCCTAAAATTGAGCTATTCATTCAATTAATTTCTAACGCTGTATAATCAGCAATGTAATCTTCTTTTCAGATGAGCTAATTTAAATAAAAAGCAGTTAATAGGATTGGAAAATATTTTCATTGAATATTGTCGAAATTTCCTTTTTCTGTACCAAAGTTGCAAGTTTAGTCTTCCTTGTCATAGGTATATACATATATATTATAGTTTTTCTTAAATTTGTCAGGACCACCCCAAATAGAGCAAAAAAAAAAAAAAAAAAAAAAAGGCCTTAAAAAAACAAAACATGGCAGAAAGCATAAGTTGTCTGTACGTTTTTAAAATCGGAAATAAACTACAATTTAGGTTTAAAAGATATATTTTCTGTTTACAAATCCTTTATTTTCATCCCATGTCCTCTTCTCCTTTTTCTTCTCCTGCTAAGGTGTTTGGCACTTTGGAGGCAGCCAAAGAGAAGTACCGCATTGAAGACTATTGTGTGAGTCAGATATCCTTGGAGCAAGTCTTCCTGAGCTTTGCTCAGTTCCAGCACTGCACACAGACTGACAGGAAGTAGGTGAAAGGAACAGGAATTCCCTCCAGACCAGTCTGGAAGAAAACCGGTGGAAGCAAAAACCAGTGTCTAGACCACCAACGCTAACATAGTGGGCGGTCCACTCTGAAACCTCATCATTTCTTCTACTTCATGAGACATTGTTGGGTCATTCACACTGTTTGTTGTCGCCGTGTGAAGTTAGGAACACTGACTCTCATCGTAGCTTGTGGGGTGTTGATTATACCAAGTAATGAACTCTTAGATCTGCACCTTTTTAATTGAATCAAACTCGATAACGACCTTCAACCGCTACACCAAACTGTGCGTTAAAGGGTCAATGCGTGTGTGTTTAATATTTGTAAAGTTTTCGTTTCTCTTATTTATGACTTTTATTACTTGTTTCCGAGATTTTGTGCTGATTTTCATCACAGGAGAATGAACCACTCTGATGATTGTGAAGTTGTGGTGCACCTTCAAGCCTTATCCACGAAAACTTTTCTTTTTAGGTTTCCTTGAACAAAAGGATCCAAATACAGAAAAAACCTCTTGTCGTTGCCAATTGCACCTAACGGCGCTCAGTTCAAGACTGTTTTCAATGTAATGTAAAAAGGAAGTCGGAATGAGGGAGAGTTGTAGGTTGCAGGGAATCAATAGATGTTGAAGAGTGATCCTCAGATTACATTTAATCATTGCTGAATGCAGTCAGTGCTTCAGTTCCTGTAAATCAAAGCATCGTTAGCAATGTGCAACAACAAGGAGGTTAATAATTACAATTCAGGATGGAGATTGGCTCTGATTCCTTAATGCACTTTGAAAACCAAGAGAGAGCTAATTTTCAATAAACGGGAAAATGTATCACCCAGCAATGATCGAATATTACTACTAAGAAAGCCAAGCTTTTGTCTGGGAAATTTTAGTTACCCCTGTTTTTAACCCCTCTTCTTAAGCTCTTGGTTACACATTAAAGCTCAATTTAAAGCATGTTAACATTAATACATTCCTAGAGTAAAATCTCTACAAGGATGTATGTTTTATCTAGAAATATTAAGATATACTTTTATCGTTTTTTAAAAGTAAGAGTTTGGATTTCCAAATATAGTCTCCTGGATTTCCACAGTCTCAATATTACAAACCAGGACAAATAAACAGAATGTTTCCTCATACTCGGACAAACTAATCACTTCAGCGGTGTAATGAATGTACGTCCTTCCATGCCGTCCGACTTTAACCTTTTAATTTATACTTTTAAGGACTTCTTTATATTTTTTAGTGCACTTCATTCCTGTAATGCAAATGACTTGAAAAGGTTATACAGCATGAATATGTGAAATACGTGCACTGCTAGTGTTGTAACGATCAAGTCCTGCTGAAGAATGGCGTGTCATATTTTATAAAAAGGGAATTCACATCATCGCAGCTGTGTGTTGTACTGTACCATGGAACTGAACCTGTCATATCTCTGTGTATCGCTGTCCTTTTTAAATTAAATAAAGCTCTCAATGCAAATGAGGGCAAACGCCTGAGTCTGACTGTCTTTTTGTTATTTTTTTCCCATTCACAACATGATACGGGTCATTATCAGTCCTGCATACAACTTGTATGATAGAGTATGCAGAGAAGAGATATTGGTCGATAGCTTTTTGGCATCTTTGGTTTTAGTTGGTTTCAACATAGCTAAGGTAGGTGAGTTCCATTTGCGCAATTATTGAACAATTCTAGTAGCCAGTCTTAGTATTTGTCACCTTTGCTCTGCAAGTTTTTAGGTGTTTCAAATCAGCAAGCAGCTCATCATGGGAAGAAGGGAAGAAGATTCTATGGTTTCTTAAAAAAAAAAAATTCCATTAAATATATATTGTATATTCTATTGTAGTTTTAAATGCAGACATTTAACACTAAACCTCTATGTCTGGTAAGTGTTTTTTTTTTTTTTAACAAATATTTTTATTAAAATCTCTGTCAGCTTATTTTTTTCCTGGTTAGCATGAATCTATTTTATCTCAATTACTCAGAGCATTTCAAAACAGCCTCTTTGAATTCAACCCAGTTTTTAATGTTGCAACATAGTCTCTTATCTTATTTATTTTAATTAATTCTTACTTTAGAGGTACAAATGTGTTTGCAAATCATTATCAATGCTGGTGAATATTAAGACAACATACAGCAAATAATGCTTAATGATATGTCTTCCATTGAAAACACGGAAACCAGTCAGTATAAAGTCTGTCCTGCTACTGGAACAGAAAATGAAAGTATTTTAATTAAATAACTACATCTGCTGCTTTTCCATAAAATAAATTACTGAAATAGAATGTTTTAGTTCCAGTATGAACAGTTCTTTCAGGACATGGAAATCATGGATGGCTTTGCAATATATTGTGAATCTAATCCATAAAGCAGTGAAGAATATCCTGAGTTGGATAAAAATCATGGTGAAAAAAATCATTAAAGCTCTCTGATAGAGGAATTATTGTAACAAATGACATTTTCATCAAAATAAACATTTAAAAACGACATTATTTTTGTACTTGTGTATATTTAAATTTGTCAGATTTTCTGAAAAACTAAAGTGTGACAAAAAAAGAAATCAGGAGGAGGCAAACACTATTTTTCCCTGTACAAGAACACCAGTTACATAAAGGTAATACCAGAAAATGAGCAGAGTTTTGTTCTATTACAAACATGAAGGTGTGGTATTTATTTACTCTTCTTGTGCTTTGGTCAGATAAGGATGAGACTAAGCTCTCTGGCAATAAACCGCTTGGGTTTGGTCCAAAATAAACTTCACAGTGTTTTTCCACATATTTGTTGTTCTCATCAACAGAATGTGTTCATGTTTTACTGTGACCCCTTTTTTCAGATAATGGTCCCAATTTTTTCTGTGCTGTTCAGATTTACTCAATCCAAAACCCCCAGAAAGAGTAATTTGATCTTTAGCTGCTTTTTGTTATATGAAGAAACTAATTGCTCTGCTATATCCACCTGCGACACAGCCAATCAGCTTTGAGCCACGCCTCAACGAAAGCCAATTGACATCCAAAGTTCATCTTAAAAGGCCTCCGATAAGCACCCGTCTGCTCCTGTGCGCAGGCGGATGCACGGTGACTTCATTCAGAGCGACACCGTTTTAGCCCACCTCCAGCCCCTCTTCCACCTTCGTAGCTAAAGCTTCTTCAGTGTCATTCCTCCCGGACTCTTGCTGTGTTCCCTGTCTCATCTTAACCGGTCTAGCAGAAGACCGCCATCTTGAGCATGGTTCTGCCAGAGGTTTGTTCCCAGCGGGGAGTTTTTCCTCTCCACTGTCGCTTCACGCTTGCTCATCATGGACAGGTTTTCTCAACCTGTGTTATCCAACTGGATTTCCATCTTCTAGGTCCCTGAGTGAAGCTCTAGTATCAGCTCACGCAGTCCACTGGATCTCTCCATAAAGCTCAGTATACCGTCTCCCTAACCAGCAGTCTACAGACTGACCAACTTCATTTATTTCCACTCCACCAGCAATTTCAGGCCTGGGAGGAAACAGCCCTATTCTTTACTCCTGTTCATGCATACCTATCAAAATTAAGCGCTAGTTTCTTGCTGAGGTCTGAGCGCCAAAGACAAAGTAATTGTATCAATAAATTTCTCCTAATTGTCTTTTCTTTTCGTGTGAGTTTTTCAGATTGAAATATTTGTATGGAGCTTTGCTCTTTTATACCAGCCAGATGTACCCAGCTTCTCATGCAATAACTGCTGGAGATAGCGACTAGCCCCCAGTGATGAGTGGGTTTGACGGAGGGTTGCTTGTTTTTTAATCAGCTACAGATTGATGAATGTTCCTAATTTTAGGAATTTAGGATCAATATTCAAGACAATTTTTTTAAACTGTTTTATTTGAGGACTGACGTATTAAAAAGAAACCCTTAAGCCCTATTTTAAATCAAAAACACATAAAAAAAACTGTATCTGTTATTGGCTTTATATAAAAAAAAATCTTTCACATGAATGACAATCAAATAAACACCTTCTTCTAAGAAAATAGTTCTAAAACTATGAATTTCACATCTAAAAAGAAGTCAAACATCATGAAATACTTCATGAAGTTGAGTGACCTAAATCAAAATGACAAAGGTTAAGGGGGAGTGGCAAATGCATAGCTGACCATAGATGATGTGGTGAAACATTACCATGAACTTATATCAATGCTAACTGCTCTCTTTTATCTGTATACTCAAAACTAAGGCCCTAAGCAGTGGAGGACATGGAGCCTTTAAAGGATTTAGGGTTTCTTCTCCAGTCCTACCACTGTGTTGGGAGTAGTAGTGCTTTTCATCGTTATATATTTAGTTTCTGTTGGTTCTACTTTCAGAGAAATAGGTATCAAACCTCTAGGACTGAAGCCTCTGCCTCTGCTTGGCAACTTGCTGCAAATGGATCTCCAAAGACCCTACAAAACCCTGTGTCAGGTGGGCATACTTTAAACTCAATCAGTGTGAATCCTGCTTGTAAAATAAACATTTTCATCTGTTTGATCCAATTTCCCTTTGTCTTCATCCGCCCAGCTTTCCAAAAAATATGGGTGTGTATTTACAGTTTATTCTGGACCAAAGAAAGTGGTCGTCCTGGCTGGGCACAAGATGGTCGAAGAGGCTATGGTTAACTATGCAGATGAGTTTGGAGATAGAGAAATCACACATATATTTGATGATAGAACCAAAGGCCATGGTAAGATCAGAAATATAAGAAAAACATAGTTGATAACTCTAAAACCTTTCCACATTTCCCCCCTTTTGGCCACTACTCTGACACACAAACAGGCAAACAGACTTCTCATTTCCTTTCAAAGACTGATCTGATGCAACCTTCAGTTTATTTAAATACAACACACAGATTTTTCCTAGTATGTTTTAAAGAGTTTCTCTTCATCTTTTTCTTAGGATGTTGTATATTTTTTTTTCTGAAGGTGTTTTATGTCGTCATGTTGGTATGTAATTCTTTGATCCACGTGCAGAACCAGTGAATTTTAACGTTTTATTTATAAAAGCAAACCAGAATTTTGAAACTGGGACTGTAGGAAGTCAGTTGTAACTTTCTACTTGGTCTGACGGGAGAAAGCAGACTGATCAGGAATGATGACAAATTATGACTGATTGATTTGGCTTACTGGAGGGATGAAGGACAGTAATAAGCAAAGATGTGTAAGTGTTTGAATTTAGCAGAATTTGTAGATTGTGCCCCAGAGGTCCAGGTGAGTGTGAGTGAGATCCAAGATGTTCCAAAAGGTGAAAGCTTTTCTATGATGATCAGAGACAAACCAAGGTTAACTGGAAGTCTGGAACAATAACAGAGTCCAAGTTAAAGAGATTCACCAGAAGACAGATTAAACTAGAAAGATATTAGTTTAGTCAGGCATCCCCAACCTCGGTCCTCAAGGCCCCCTGTCCTGCAGGTTTTAGAGGTTTCTCTGCTTCAGCACAGCTGGTTATAATGATTGCAGTGGACCAAAAGCCTGCTAATCAGCTTTCAATTAAAATCAGCTGTGCTGGAGCAAGGAAACCTCTAAAACCTGCAGGACAGGGGGCCATGAGGGCCGAGTTTGGGGATCCCTGGTTAGGTCATCTTGATTGAGAAATGTTCTCAGGTGTGCAGCAACATGGGTGAGCCCAGCCACTAACAAAGATTCTCTCTGTGACAGGAACCTCACTCACACCAGAAAAACATTAAAACCCCAGAGATCCAAAAAATTGGATTCCTAGCCAGATGTCTTAGTACATTTTAGCTTATGGTTCCCTAATGACAAAATATGTACCGGTATTATTCTTGATTCAACCACATACTTCATTTTTTTTTTTTTTTGATTATATGGGATAGAACAACACACAAAAATACATGAACTAGAAAAATCACTTAAAACATCAAATACAGACTGAAATGTTGCTTTTAATGGTCAGAATGTTTAAAACCTGTACGAACTCTTTAACATGTCACTACCGATGATACCTGTATTTAATTCAACTCATATGGTCAACAATTTTGTAAAGGTAGCACCCATTTCTGTTTGATTTCTATGCGCTGCATAAGGAATTCTGTTTTCAAATGGGGAAACATGGAAAGATATGCGTCAGTTTGCCCTCATCACCCTCAGAGAGTTTGGGATGGGCAAGAGAGTTGCTGAGGAGAAAATCTTAGAGGAGTGTAGACATCTCATTCAAACGTTTGAGAATGACAAAGGTATGAAAAATGCTTCTTTTCTTTAAGATAGTGCTTTTTTGACAGTTAAAAAGAAAAAAGAAACCCTTTTTTCCCCACAGGGAAACCGTTGAACACATCACGCCCAATAAATTATGCTAGATCCAACATCAGCTCCTCCATCGTGTGTGGAAGCAGATTTGAATATGATGACCCTTCGATTAAGAGAGCTGGTTAGTCAAGCAAAGAAATCTATAAAAATATCTGGCTCGGCTGAAATCCAGGTAAGCTTAATATTTTACAGGGTCTGCTTTGTAAATAAGAAGCCAAATGTAGGGACTTTAGCAGGTCGTGTTGACCAATCTTATTCTGTGAAAGGTTAAAACTGATAAGTTACTGTTTAAAATTTCAAAGACGGATACCAACACACATATTTGAAATTGATTGATGCTTCAAATTTAAAAGACAACTGAATTTAAAAATCTTTTCCAATCAGATCATTTTTGCAAATTTTAACATTGCAATAACAACTAATTAAGTACTTTAGTCAGACTCTATCTATATAAAATAGCTGAACACAGTGTAGTGCATGCTTTAATTGTAAATAAAAAAAAAATTATATATATATATATATATATATATATATATATATATATGGCTCATCCTCAATCCTTATCTTTATCTCAATTAAAACAAAATAAAGATTTTGGATTGATGTGGATTGCTGAAATACAAAATTGGTTTTATTGTATAAATCAGCTATCAACACTATATAAATTCTATTATAATGCTATATAAACAGAAATGATCACATTTTGTGCAACAGGTAAAGTATATAACCATGGAAAACATTATTGCATTTGTTCCAATTGCATTTTCACCTTTTTCCTTTAATTTAAACTACTGGACGTTTAGAACCAGGTTCCTGAGAAGTTGCATAACAGAAGGAAGGTAGGGTTACATCAGATGCTCGTGGGAAGATTAGGCTTAAAGTACAAAACAGAAAGGTGGTGAGATGGTGTCAAAAAGGGGAGAGGCTGCCTAATCCTGACTGGCACCATACATTGTTCCCTCTGCAATACACTAATCCACACTTATACAATAATGATAAATAATGTATATTTTTCCTAATAAAATCAATTAAATTAGCAATATTTTTTTGTAGAATAGAAGTTTCCAAACAACTGTGATGTATATTGTCTGCAGCATTGTGCAACAACAACAATATCAACCTGTGCAGCTTATTGGTTTAGAAAGGATTGTAGGTGCTTGTTTCAAGGGTTTAAAGTGAAGCAGTAATACGCTTACTGATTTTAACATTTTTATTTAGGCTCATCTTAAGAAAATAAAAGTAAGATGCTCTGTAGCATGAATATACAGTAAAAACCCAACAATTTAGGGATAATAGTGATAGAAAATCAGTTTCTATAATCACCTCTATATATTTTCTGTTCTTTTACCTAATAGTCTAGTAACAGAATGAATCCAATATGTAAACCAGATTAAATTTATTATAACCTTAAAGTTAGGCACTTTCTAGAAATATTTGGAGAAATATCGAAGGTAAAATTTCTAGGATGTATTATTGGGAAATGTAGTGTCCATGGTTTTCCCTAATATCATATGTTGCAAAGAGGAATGGATTAGAATACAATAGAATAGAACTCAACTCAGTGCAATACAATATAATATATTCATCATCTATTTATCGATGCAACAGTTTACTCACAGCACAGATACACACAAAAAAATAATACAAATACACAGTTTACATTTTACATTGAATATTTACATTGTACAATAATTGGCTACAATAAAATGGAAGCATATTAAAAGCATGGCAGTAATACGGACATTTTATTCAGTTTGTTGAGAAAATGTTCATGCAGATTATTCCTTTAGAAATATGTGGATTAGTTAATCCTACTCAAACCAACAAAAAACTAATAAAAGAGCACTCCAGGCATTTGATGCATTTACATTTCATGCTTTCCAACGTCAATCACACATTATTGTCTTAATTTTCACTTGTTATGGCTGGTTAGCATATACACTCACCGGCCACTTTATTAGGTACACCTGTCCAACTGCTCGTTAACACTTAATTTCTAAGCAGCCGATCACATGGCGGCAACTCAGTGCATTTAGGCATGTAGACATGGTCAAGACAATCTCCTGCAGTTCAAACCGAGCATCAGTGAGGGGAAGAAAGGTGATTTGAGTGACTTTGAACATGGCATGATTGTTGGTGCCAGAAGGGCTGGTCTGAGTATTTCAGAAACTGCTGATCTACTGGGATTTTCACGCGCAACCATCTCTAGGGTTTACAGAGAACGGTCCGAAAAAGAAAAAACATCGAGTGAGCGGCAGTTCTGTGGGCGGAAATGTCTTGTTGATGCCAGAGGTCAGAGGAGAACGGCCAGACTGGTTCGAGCTGATAGAAGGGCAACAGTGACTCAAATAACCACCCGTTACAACCAAGGTGGGCAGAAGAGCATCTCTAAACACACAGTACGTCGAACTTTGAGGCAGGTGGGCTACAGCAGCAGAAGACCACACTGGGTGCCACTCCTTTCAGCTAAGAACAGGAAACTGAGGCTACAATTTGCACAAGCTCATCGAAATTGGACAATAGAAGATTGGAAAAACGTTGCCTGGTCTGATGAGTCTCGATTTCTGCTACGACATTCGGATGGTAGGGTCAGAATTTGGCGTCTACAACATGAAAGCATGGATCCATCCTGCCTTGTATCAACGGTTCAGGCTGGTGGTGGTGGTGTCATGGTGTGGGGAATATTTTCTTGGCACTCTTTGGGCCCCTTGGTACCAATTGAGCATCGTTGCAACGCCACAGCCTACCTGAGTATTGTTGCTGACCATGTCCATCCCTTTATGACCACAATGTACCCAGCTTCTGATGGCTACTTTCAGCAGGATAATGCGCCATGTCATAAAGCTGGAATCATCTCAGACTGGTTTCTTGAACATGACAATGAGTTCACTGTACTCAAATGGCCTCCACAGTCACCAGATCTCAATCCAATAGAGCATCTTTGGGATGTGGTGGAACGGGAGATTCGCATCATGGATGTGCAACCGACAAATCTGCGGCAACTGTGTGATGCCATCATGTCAATATGGACCAAACTCCCTGAGGAATGCTTCCAGCACCTTGTTGAATCTATGCCACCAAGAATTGAGGCAGTTCTGAAGGCAAAAGGGGGTCCAACCCGTTACTAGCATGGTACCTAATAAAGTGGCCGGTGAGTGTATATCCCTTATTTATGCAAGTGATCTTTCTGAACAAGCTACAAGCCAAAATAATTAAAAAAAATTTTTTGCACTACTAATATTAGGAAATGAGACCTGCAGAAATAGTGTGTCATATTTTAAAATTGGGAAACTCTATTAATGTAACTGTGTATTGTACCATAGATCGGAATGTTTTAATTATCCCTATCGTTTTAAGCTTGGTAATGCTCTCCAGAACAAACATAGAAAATTATAAATTCTGTTTTTAAAGCTCTGTGCAAGCAGAGAAGGTCAAAGTAACACAATTTAGTAAAACTGATTTCTCCAAATAATTTTCCTGTGGAAAAAAAAAAAATCCAGCAGTTGACTAAGACAACTAAAGAAAATGATTAACAAAAGTAATGTCGGGTTTGAAAGGCTGATCTATAGATTAAGCAACACTCCCATGACCTCTTTACAGCAGCAAAAATTCCTTAACGTCTTTAAAATGCAAGACAGAACTGGAGCTTACCTAATAGCTTTCAGAGTTGATATTTAAAAAGACAAGTTTCAACACCATCTGCATCTTTAACACCCTCAGTAAAGAACACAACAACAAGGGCAGTAATTATACACAACCTGAGACAGGTGTGTAAAAATCTTTGGAAATTCAGAAAACTCATTCATTAAACTTGTTGGTATAATAGCAAAGGTGTGGAGCTCACTTATTTACTTGTATTAAACCATTTAACAGAGGGGCACATACAAAAGACAAAAAATATATATATATATTTTTAAACCTTTAGCGATACAAGAGGATGTATAGAGGAAATTAGCAAAAACAAACTGCAGGAAACAAAATGGGTTGAAATTGATTGTTTATATTATGATGAAAGGTTCAAGTATCAATGCAAACAGCAAAACTAAAAAATGTGAGCTCACTCAGCCACCCAAAGCAAAATGGTGCACAAAGGTTAAGTAGGTGGAGCCACTATAGAGCCGACCTATAGATGAAGTAACATCCCCATGAGCTTTTCACAGGGAAAAACACCCTCTGCATATCCTGTCTGTAGGTTTAAACAAGAAGGCAGTAGACTGAATGGAGGCTTTAAAGATTTTAGGTCCCTCTCTTTTCACCAGTCCTACCACTGTGGTGGGAGTAGTTGTTCTTTTGATTATAATTTATTTTATTTCTGTTGGTGCCTCTTCCAGAGAGACAGGCAAAGAACCTCCCGGACCGAGGCCTCTGCCTCTCCTTGGAAACTTGCTGCAACTTGATCTCCAGAGACCCTACAAAACATTGTGTCAGGTGGGTGCTTTGTTCTGGCTCAAGCTGATGTGTAATATTCATGCAACCTGTTTCATTTCTGTTTGGTGTCATTGCTTTTATTTTACAGCTTTCCAGGGAATATGGGTCTGTATTTACAGTTTATTTTGGACCCAAGAAAGTGGTCGTCCTGGCTGGGTACAAGACAGTCAAAGAGGCTCTGGTCAACTATGCAGATGAGTTTGGAGACAGAGAAATCTCACCTATATTTGATGATCTGAACAAAGGTCATGGTAAGATCAGAAATAAAGACGTACAGTGCTTTTTTTTATATAAAATTAGTAATAAATAATTATTTTCTTTCAATATGATCACAAACTTCAATGTATTTAGTTGTAATTTTATGTGATGGATCAGTACAAAGTGATGGAAGTGGAAGGGAAAAGATATGTATAGTTCTAAAAAATTCTTAATAGAGGAACATTGGTAAATGGTGGCATGAATTTGTAACATTGAACATTTCCAGTAGAAACTTAAAATACATTTCTGCCTTGCAATTGTACAAAGACAAAATGGCTCATGCTCATTTGGGTTGGATGGACAGCATTTATAAAAATCAACTTCGTAGTGCAAATGATTCACTAATGCATCTTAGCTAAGGACATGGACTAAAACACTTTAAATCACGAATACACTTTGATTTAAAACATTCAAGTGAAGTTCTAGCTGTATGTTTAGGA